GTAAATCATTGGTCAAACTTTTTTTGATGAAAATAATGTCATGCACTTACATTTGTAAGTGTACTAAGAGAGCCCAAAAAACAGACAATTACTAATCCCAGCACAAAAAGCTCCCGTCTGTGAGAGAAATGTTCTGGATATTCATCTAAGACGGCAGTTATGATAGCCTCCAGTCCACCAAACTGAAACAAGTACCAGCATAGATTTGTTTCATTGTTATGCATTAACAAGCTTATATTTTATGTGACTTTAGTTAAAATGTACATACTGTACTGTCAAGACCCAATGTTATCATCATCACAAAAAAGATGATAGCAAAAAATGTTGAACCCATCATGTTGGCAATGGCTTCTGGATAGGTAATAAACAGCAAACTTGGCCCTAGAAAATAAAACATGAACATAGCTGACATAACATAACAAAACATAACAGATTTTAGTGTTTTATTTTAACAGATTTTGTATTTATTTTGGAATCAACCTACCTTTGTCTCTGGCTACCTCCTCCACCTCTACCTCTCTCATCTCTGCCATGTAACCCAAAACAGTGAAGATGACAAAACCTGACACAAAGCTTGTGAAACAGTTCACCAAGCTAGTTACAATGGCATCTCTTGGGCAAAAAACAACAAAACTTATTTTAAAATCTTTATTATATCAAAGGTTAAGACTCATGTTGGAGGCTTGGGTCTTACCTATAGCAATTGTTTGTAAAAGGATTGTAACTGGATAGAGCCAAAAGAACCCCAAAACCAGGCCCCAAAGAGAAAAATATCTGAGCAGCAGCATCCACCCATACCTATAAAAAGACAGATGGTCTCATTTCGGAATAAATTGGTTACTATCACATTTGTCCAAAGGTAACAAAATATACCAAAAGCCAATCTTAAGCGAATACAATATTATAGCATTATTTGTTAGGCAGTACTGGCCAGTGTACAGAGTTGTTGCCACACAGCTGTCCACATGGAGATCTGAAGAGCTGCGCACATTCGGCATTACAAGAGAAGAAAGAGTGCTGGATGCTGGTGAGGGCCACAAAAAGGGAGCCCTTTGTTAATGGGTAGAAAATCTAAACTAATTATTCATCTTATTATTCACCTCTGTGGCTTATTTATGCATCTCATTTCAACTCATCCATATTCCCATTCAAACCAAGCACTCAGACACACATAGCATTTAAGCATTGCTGTGTAAGGAACAAGGATACAGGGTCATTATAAATGATTAGCACAATCCACAAGTAGTATTAAACTTTACTATAAGGTTTGTTTAACTTACACTGGTCTCAAGCAGTTTATCCCACTGGGGCTTGAGGTAGAAGACTACACCTCTCCAGGCTCCAGGCAGAGTGGCCCCACGAATCAGCAGGATGAAGAGCACAATGTAGGGCAGGGTGGCAGTCACCCACACTACCTTTAGAGCCAGAGTGGGCATCATAAAACTGTACATGCTTTCATGGGGCAAATAGAGCTGCGTTACCTTCCCTGATGTTTTCACTCCCTTCCACAGGCTGAAGTACACAATTGTAAAAATAAGAAACAGACAGAGCACGAGCTGCCAGCGAATGCCGCCAACATTTCTGAGGCCTGTAGACTCTTGGATCTCCAGAACATTTCTCCTGTTTGAGTCAGAAATATTCAATTAATCATAAGAGAAGGGTGTTATACAAAAGCAACACTATGATCATATACATGTCAACGCTTAGTCACATTCACACACACTTACGTGTAAAATTCCTCCGCAGGAGAACGGGAAAAGTTGGTCCAGGTGACGTTGTTCAGGCCAAAGTAGTTGGTGCAGTTAGGGGTATTCCATACATTGTCACAGTTTGTCCATGGCAGGGTTGTGGAGAAAGAGGAGTAGAAATAGAAGAGGGCCCAAGCGATAATAGTGTTGTAGTAGAAGGACACATACAGGGCAATTATACATATGGCATAGCCAATACCTAGGACACAGAAATCATATCAATTGTTACCACTGGATTACTTTGAAATCTAATACTATGCGAGTAGCATGGGCCAAATAACATACATTTTTTCACACAGGACACACATATAACATATTTGTACCTTTGAAAATGGGACAGATGTGTTTCCAGATGGATATAGCTCCAGTTCTGTGAAACTGCCCTAGAGCCAGCTCCATGTAAAAGAGAGGCACACCTCCAAAGATAGCCATGAGGATGTAGGGAATCAGGAACGCTCCTGCCCAAATAAGAACAAATACTCAATTGTCAATATACTATATATGCTAAACAAAGTCAAAGCAAATCTGAAAATAATTTTTATCTGCCATCCCAAAAAGCAATGTCGGTGTTTTTACTTTTTAAATGCGTTATTTGTCACATATTAAAGTAAAAACAATGAATAATATGAATTATATGAATAATAATATAACAATAATATGTCCCCGTAAAGTGAGTAAAACGTATATAATTGAGAAAAGCTTCAAGAAGATGTTTTCAGCACCACGGACAGTTCATGTCGCAAGAAATGTCGGTCCAAATTGTATTCTCAAAGTTTTAAGTTAGAGTAAGTTATATTTATTATAGATTGCATTTATGTATACTTACCTCCGCCGTTTTGATAACAAATATAAGGGAAGCGCCAAACGTTGCCTAAGTCCACTGCAAAGCCAATAACAGATAAAAGAAAATCCATCTTTTTGCTCCATTTGTCCCTAGAGTCTGTTTGCGTGGGCACTGGCACCGGGGCACTATGAGGGCTGTATCCAGGGTGAGAAGACCCATGCTGGGTCACGCTGCCAGCCATGACCGTGGAAAAGTCAGAGAGAGGACCAGCTTCACGGAGCTGAGGTCTTCTATATTGAAGACAGGCCCAGTGGGAGGGGCTGATATAGGGACCTGCTTGAACCCACTCGTTCAACATCACTTTTCTCTTTATTACAGTGAAACCGGATAAAAGGCCTTAACATTTTAATCATAAGTGATTAGCCTATTCAGTGTTTGCAAGTCACGTGATTGCTTTAACTTACAGTTGTTGAGATTTGTCACTGCACCGTAGGCCTATTTAGACTAAATAAAAACTATAACATTAAATTAGCATAATGGTTATGCTAATCAGTATTTGACTAAAGTAGGCTGTCACTGCTCTATGTGTAGTTACAGGTTTCCTCTCTATTACTGTATAATACTTTAGTCAAATATATTATACAATCTTATACAATAATATTATACAGTAATGCAGAGGAAGGCTGTGACTACCCTATGTAAGGCTACGTCACGCCACAGTGAACTCTTTTTTGCTCCTGGCGGCATCTGAAAACACTGCGCACGGACCTGTTTGCTACAGGGCACCATGGGAAAGCATGCGTACACGCACTGGTTATTGGGGAAAATCGACCGATTTGTTTAGTTTAGATGAATTAGAAAAACTACTAACACAGGAACTTATTATTTTCTAGTCGTAGGGATTATGCGTCTCATATTCTCAATAGTAGAGGTCCCATTTAGAGTGCCAGTTACATCAGTTTCATCTTGTTGCTGTTGCCCAAAACAAGTAAACGGTTAGAAAGTCTGATTGCTCAGCCAAGGTGAGTGGGGTCCCTGAGGGCCAAAACAAACATAACAACAAATCATGGCTCCAGCTTTTTCTAACATACAACCCTGTCAGTGTTCATTGGCACACATGGGCAGAAGCACATCAGACTGACAGCAGCTTCAATCACAGTGTGGAGCCTGTCGACTCCAATCACATAAAGACCTGTGGGCCTCACTCCAGTGAGAACAAGTACATGCTTATGACACAGCACACAGACCAAACTCAGTGTCAGGCCCAGTTTTACTAATCTGTATAATTCCTAACACACAAAGGTCTTCATGGGTGTGATAAACATCACTGTAGTGGCTAGATTGTCATCAGATGTTTTTTTTCTTGCATATTCATGCAGATTTCTCTCTATTTTATCTTCATCTCATCTGCTTGAGATATTTTCTAATGTACGTCAAGTATAAATTTTGTCATGGTCTTGTAGAATCAATATGGATGTAGAGACCACTGGATTGAAAATTTAAAATAAAAAAGTAAAATAAATATAGGCCTAACCTAATCTGTTAAAGTTATACATTCTTTTTGACTAAAAACACTGAGATGTCTTCTGTGTTAGTCCTGAGGAACTTTGATTGTGTTACAGAGACCAGTGGAGATGACTTCAGTCTGTCATATTGGTTGGTTCTATTCCTTTCACCACCAAATTTACCTGACAGCTCTCGCCTTCAAGTGGTAAAAGTCTTGTGGGCATCTGGAGCAGCATTCCAACAAACATCCCAACAACTTCCTTTTCATCTGAGTTAGCAAGGAGCCAAGGCCCTGGTATTAGGTTATTTACTTGCATTGCCATCTTCTGGACAAACCTTGTAGTTACAGATGTTTCAGGATTAAATTAAGTCAGTTGTCTCTCGTATTTTCCTCATTTGACTCATATCATATTGTGAATAGTTAAAAAACATCTAAACGTTTTGATCTAGTGGAGTGACAACATATACACATCAAGATGTATGTAAGTACCCTAAAAGACAATTATCATAGAAGACGATCTTGTGTCCTTGATTTAGGAACAGAAACTTCATTGCCCAGATCCGCCATAAGGTGGCATAAAAAAGACGCTCACGTAGTAACCTAAATTCGATAGCCCAGCACAAAGCACAAAGTAGATAATGATTTTTTTCAGATTCTCATAGTAACCTATTTTAAAAGTATGTTCATAAAAGTATTTTATAGTCCAAGTGGTTTTATTTTATTTTTTAATTTATTTTTTTGCTGCTTAACCCATGCCGTGGAAATTAAATGGTCTCAACTCAAACAATGAATGTGCCAAAAGCTAGTGTACAATAGCTGAGTTTAAATTGCCTCCATAGGGTAGACGTTTACGGGTAGATCATACACGTAGCCTAATGCAGAGGAGGTGTCTGTCTTTAAGGGGAGTGTGTGGCTTGGAGGTGGAGTCTGAGCTTGAGCGCACGAGCCGGACTCAGCGGATGGGAGCAGTGCCGCCGAAGATAAGGGACGACATCCATGGCAACCACCATGGCAGGTGGGAGCAAAAAATATAGAAAAGAATAGCACATCTAGATTCCCGTAACTGTTAAATGCGTTTGTTTGAATGCACCGTGTGTAACAGTGATGTTTGTGCGTGTTTCAGAAGCGGAGACTCGTCAGCGGCTGGTGCGCACCGTCAAGAAGGAGGTGGGTGTTTTCACTTCAGCAGTTATCGAGATGGAAAAACAAACACTTTGTGTTATTAAGCACTAGAGCTCAGCCCACATGTAGGCTAGCCACAATCCATTGAAACTTATCACCATTTTAATGTTCTATCCAGAGCTATGTTTGTTTCAATGTCTTAAATGCCATTGATTTTAAACTATTATCCTGGTATCTACGATTAAGTGTATTGTACATATTGTTTGTAGTGTTGCTTAGCCTAAACTGGTCACCCAACTGGTCATGCTTATCCACTCACGTATTGTGTCATACGCAAAGCCTTTGTGCGCGCTGTGTGATGTTGCATTTTCCAATTTATTTTTGCGACCTGTTTTTCCCCCTTTTTTTTTCTCTCCACATTTAACCAGACCTTTTGTAGTGTCATAGAGGTGTGCCTGCCTTATAATGGATTATGAAGCAAAATCTGAAAAAGGTAGGGTATTAGGAACAGACTGGAAAATAATTTTAAGCTATGTTATCAAAGTCTAGGCCTATATTTAGCTTATGGTATTACAATCTGGTCAGCTGTTCCTACACTTCTTCTAGTTCTTTGTGTACACAGATATGATCACTTCATCTTGTAAAAAGAGAACAGCATAGAGTCTGGGCTGTGATTTGTTTTCCCTTGAGACCTCTTATCAGTGGAGACCAGACCCTTCCCAATACTGGCCCCGCCTCCTCTAACAGGGTTTGGGGACTCCCTATTACCCTTGCGCCTTTTTGCCAAAGCATGGCCAAATCAACCCAATGATTTCATCTTATATTTTGTACCTTCAGAGTACAGAACAATATGACAAAATATGCCATGAAGATATGTTTGGACATAATTACATGTTGTGCAGATTAAGTTAATCTACACACTAGTGGATGTCTCTATGTTTTGTAAAGAGAAATCTAAAATCAATCAAGTGTCATTTTCCTCAGATTTGTGCTATGATGAGTGTGTGGGATGCACCATATGGTGCCTCTAGCCGGTGTTTTCTCACGCTTGGCTTGCCCAGCTGGTTTGGTGCCATGGTCTTCTCACCTGAACACGGGCCATTATCCAGAAAGCACAGGACGTCTGGAACCACAATTACCTTCTGGCACAAAATAGCTTTGAATTAGGTCTCATCCTTGGACTCTATCTGTCCATGTCTAGCTCATTCATTTATAAATGTGCCTTTTTCATGAATGGTGAATGCAAATGCATGAACACCTGTGTTTGTTCATTAAACCAAAGAAAAGGAAAAAAAAGGCAATTTCATAGAGCTATCTGACATCTCTGCTGCTCATTTAGTGTTTCTTATAAAATGGCTATATCTTCAGGATTAGGTTTCATGCTATGTAACATATTGAGTTTTTTCATGGTCTGATGGTCTGATATTAGCTATTAGTTATTACAGAGTGTGCTTGTAGGAGACCAATACGAATGCTTCCAGGTGATTATTGTTAAGGTTCAGGATTTGATAAATATTTACATGATGGAAATGGAAAAGACATATTTATATGTACCAGTTAGTAATTGCTTCAAATCAAAATCAAAAGATATAACCAGCCTAAACCAGTTTTTCAAATATAATAGAAGATATATAGCCTATATAAATCTGACTTACCGGTAGTTGCATTTGAGAGCAGGAAAAATAAGTATCTTCACTGGTCCCAATGCTTTTCAGGAATATTCTATATAAATTAATAAAATACTCACATGTACAGACAAGAAAATCAATAGCTATAACATCTATCTCTGAGAACATACATAATATTGTACTTATGCCCCTAACATTGATGTTTCAGTGTTTAATGCAGATAGAGCAGAGAAAAGTGACTTTGACTGAGCCTGGATAAATAGAGAGGATTCAGAATAACCAAATAAAGCTATGAAAATATCATAAACATAAAATATAATTTAAATATGAAATTACTAAGATTATATAATTTATACCTTTATTTTTAATCAACTCTGTTTGCAGCATTTTGGTTTCATTATCTTTTTATTTACTAAAAAATCACATGGCATCTTCAAAACAACATGCGCAATATTATTGATATTTTGATAATCTGCCCACCTCTGCCTGGATGCCTCTTTTTCTGCTGTTCTGGAAGTTAACTGGACGACTCACAAGATCCCATATTACTGTGGATAGTTCCTTTAGGCTATAGTGGTTTGATTGAGAACATTAATCATGCTTTGTGCCTTGAGACATTCATGGGAATCTATGTTATATATGTTAACTCAGGTATAAAACACAAAACACAGTATCATTTATGATGCCTTCATTATTGTATTCAGCTCATAATGCATTGTTAAATGTGACCATACTCTCCTTATTGTGTCCATGAGTAAATGTTGTTGACGTGTCTTCTTAGGTGGAAGTGATACAGCGTGTGACACATGCGGTCTCCATAGAAACGCACAGGTTGTCTGAGCCGAGACACTTGACTATAAAAATTCCTTAGAGGATGGATCTGTAGTCCTTATCATTTGGGTGAGAAACGGCAGTCATTAATGATAATATGAGACTTTTTGCATATTCTCACACAAGATGCTCAGGGGCTGAACAGAACTGATTAAATGTATATGCCGTATTGACCAGACACATTAGACACATGCTGTGATAGTAAATCACTGTTGTATACTGATAATATTGAAGTTATATTAAAAAATGACAATATCGGTGTGTTCAAAAGCACATAAATAATATTCTTGTGGGTCAAAGGTAAAATCAACCATAGAATTTACCAAACCCAATCTGAGGTTAAATTGGGACTAAATAAAAAGTCTGAAGTATAAAAATGAACTAAACTAAATCAGTACCAAAAGAAAACTGGAGCTCTCAAAACTAAAGCATGACTTAATGTATAAATTTTGCAATTAATTAGTACAAAATAATTTAAATTTTATATTTTGTCTTTTTTTTTCAAGTAACAAACACCAAACAACATTGACAAACACTAAAATAACTATACAATAATGAGCATGATGAAAGTTGATTCACAATAAACAAATAGATTAGTAGGAATGATTCAGGATTAGTAACTACTTAGTTAATACCCTAACCATAACAATTAAACTAAGCAAGAATTCTGTATGAATTAATTAAATAAATAGATCAATAGACTAGCTATTATGCCTAGCATTATTGCAATACATTGACGTTTTATAATGTGATATTTGCTATACAATACATTTGCTCAGTATATCACATCCCTATTAATTTGTGAATTAATACTTCCAACTATTTTCAATTCTGTTCATTCATTGTGTTTCTTTCCCAGCTGTGAGAGATGAGTCAGCTTAGGTTTTACCCTGTTTCAACAGCTGAGGTGCAATCAGTACTCAGTGAGCAGACTATTCTCAGCACCTTCGCATAAACAAGTAGCTTTGTGTTCTCATGATAAATCAGAGATTCCTGTCTGGACCCTCAACTCTGCATAATGAGTAGAATATCCCTCAGAAGCAGCTTAACAGAAGCACCTAAAATATTATAATGTAGCAGATTTGTGGATTTCTTTTGCATAAATTGTCTGTGTTTTTCCTTTATGTTTGACGCTAGCAGCCACCAAGTCAATACAGTGACAGGTGACAAATGAACTAAATGAGCCACATCCTCTCTGTGAACTGAACTAGAGTCACAAACAGGCTGTCAACACAAAAAGGTCCTTTTGTATTGCCAGCCATAATAGTTTTTTCTCATCAAGAGAAAAATGTTCATGTTGGTTTAAAATAACAGGTCTTTCTCACTGCAGTATTCCCCATCTAAGCTGCCAGGGACAAGTGCTCCGATGTGTGCTGTTATACTGTTGTGGTGGCTCTATCTGCTTGCCCAGTAGTCTCCTAACAGTCAATAAGGATGACTCATCTCATCATGTCTCTCTTAGTGACAATGGTTTTTACACACAACTTCAGTGGTGTACACCGTTAAGTAAAATGGGCTTGAGTGGTCTCATATGTAATGTTTTAGTTTTATTTATTTGGTTTAGTCGAGTAAATACAATACAAAAAACTTTCACTAACTGTAGCACAGCGGTCAGATGGACTGATAAAAGTCCATTAATCCACTAATCCCTAACAAACACACAAACATATTAGTTTGCTATTATTTTCTGAGTTTTCATACTGCGCGTGCTAACAACCGAACACACCCTCCATTGTTCAAAACAGCATAATGAATTACATCAGATCAGCATATTTAATAGTACTTGTTTCAGAATACAATCTGTGAGGTCTGAGGTTGAGTACACTCTAAACAGCTGTGAATGCGACAGGTGAAGATGGATGTTTTTGTTGGGCCAGTGTAATGGGACATTGTGGACCGACTAATTTGGACAGCAGGATATTACAGCTATCTGTGTCCGGAGGTTAATAGTCCCCAAACAGGCTGCAAGAGCACAGTCTCCATAGATCAGTCATCCTCACTCATTCTCTTTGAATCAGCCAAATAGTAGGCCCGTCACAATAATAAATTTTGAAGTGCGATATACTGCTGAAGAAAATATAGACGATAAACAATAATATTGAAACTAATTTATGCCACTGACACAATAACCCAAGAGCAGAAACTGTTCTAAATGTACAATGTGGTTAAATAATCATGATAAATAAATAACAGAATAAAACACTTGAACAAATAATTTGCATCTGTAAGAAGTCATAGAAGTTATTAATTTAAGTTTTTATGGCTTAAATTTTATCAAAAAGCCAAAAAAATTATACAAATGTCCCAGTAAAAAGTAAAAAGTACAAAGAAAATGTACACATGATAAATAAATAAATAAATACATCAACCTGGTAAATCGAAGTTGAAGTTTGAACCCCCCACTGAGGGCACAATGAGCAAGCCAGTGTGGGTCATTCACACTACTGCCCACCTCATACATTGATGAGAGACAATGAAAGTTATGAGATACTGGCTCAGACATCGCCCGGCCAAACAAGGTCTGCGTCACCTCTGTTGGAGAGAGATTGGGTACAAAGCCCCAATAAGTATCATGCTCACCAGTGACTAACCTGAAAGATAAGATGATGAAGATCATGAATGAACAGATGAACAGACAGTTACAGCGGCTAAGTGAAGTACCATCTGAAAGTATCCCAGAAGATGTGAATCCCTCCCACATGATGTGCGATCCCTACCACAACCATCAATGAGCATATGCCATCACAACCTACTACAACCTGCCGCAACCTACCACAACCATTAATGAGCACACACTTAAGCAGCAGTAATCCTGGAGGTGTTGAGTTATAAGAGCAACCATGGGAGCTGTGAGAAGCAATACCCACCATGGAGGCAAAAATCAAGGAAGCACAGAGAGAAGTGAGCCAACTCTCAGAGGCCCTGAAAGGTGCAATGAAAAACAGATGCCCATACCTGAAGCACTGGAAACTGCCAAACAAAGGCTCCAAGCCTTAGCCAGGTCACAACCCAACTTGCTAAAATGTATGCTTAATGGCATGGTAATAACACCAGAGCAGATCCACAAAGGGCGTACAATCCTGATCCTGATACCGTCAAAGTCCCTTCCTACTATCGGCCAATAACCTGTCTCTCTCCACAACATGGTAAATCATGAGGGAATGTAGTCCACACAAAGGGGGTCTCACTCCGAGAGGGAACAATAGCAGACACTGAGGCACAAGTACCTTGGTAGCCCACTAGCAAATGGCAACCTCGAAGAGAAAACAAGGAAAGGCCCAACGAGTGAGGCAAGTTCTAAGAAGCCAGCTCAATGGCAAGATGTCGCCCAGGCAATAAACAGCTATGCCCTGCCAGTGATCATATATCCAGCACCCGGGCAATAGAGGCCCAGATCTGCTACATATCTATATATATATATATATATATATATAAATTAGATGCATCAAATGATTCATGAATAAATAAATAATTTACATATACACATTCTATAAAATGCCTTCTCCTGACACAGACTGTGTTGAAGGATGAGATCCATGTGATGTTCTGCACTTTCCCGTAGAGTTGCTAAGAGCTGATGACTCATCCTCCAACTTCACTTGTCACACACTTGTTCCTCTTGTGTTGCCATCACTTTTGAATCTGAGCCACTCTCAATATGTCTCATAATTTCACTCACACACACTTCCTGCTAATTATCTTTTATTGTTTCTATTGCTCTGACCTGTGTGTGTAGTGTTTGCATATTAAAGAGTGACTCACCAGCGTCTCTCTCTGACAGGTGAAGCAGATTATGGAAGAAGCTGTCACCAGGAAATTTGTTCATGAAGATAGTAGCCATATTGTGTCCTTTTGTGGTGAGTTGGCAAACACACTTTTTATCATGGCTCTTCAAATGTGCCAAGTCAAGTCATACTTCTTAAAATCAGATGGCGGTTACTGCATGTGCGTATCTTTGTAGACAGTTCAACATTTTGATTATAAATATATTGGTGTTAAAATGATGACTTAAACACCAGAATGTATGTAGCTTTTGCACTAAATCAGAATAATTTATTCTAGAACCTGATTGGCTCATGTTGTCTATTGTCTGTGCTGTTAAAATTAAAATGTCAGCTATTGTGTTGTTATAGAAATTTTATTATAGCATTTAAATAGGAGTAGTGGTCAAAACTATAAAATGTGCAAAAACAGTGATACTCATTTGAATATGATTGGATATGATCTAGATCTGATCTAGTATAAGACCACATGATAATATTAACTACTATGATTTTGTCTTGACAGTAATGAATAAGAAGTTCACTTTGATTGTCAGACTGAGGTTATTCTGGCACTGGTCTGATGAACAGTGTCAGACTGCAAAGTGTGACCAAAACTTATTAAATATGAGTGAATCATCCTTCCCACTCACTAATTAATTTAACACAAATGCCTTCTAATTTATTTTTCTCTGCACTGCCTGAATCACAGCATTTTTATTTATTTTTTTCTCATTTTAAAAGCGGTGAGATCGTTGCACTACACTAGCTGTAATCCTTTTTAGGTTTGTAATGATCTTGCTGTGTGGGGAACATATTATGGCCTTTGAAATGGGTTTGTCTGTCATGTAGCCCAATGGGTACACTCCAAGCTCTCTATACTGACTCTAGCACTGACCCTGTCTATTAGTCTAACTGCACATCCTCTGTGTGCAGTGATATGCTGCGAGATGAAAGCGGAGGATGGGTGCACACTGGGAAGCAATTAGCCTCCACTGCCTTTACTAAGGATGTGACTGGTTATTCTCTGCTCATTGTTACCAGATTATGCTAGTGTTTTGGACAGAAAAAAACAGGTTTATAATTCACTTTATTTGTTGTAACACAAAGAATTTAGCATTTATTCCCTAGATATAAATCTGATGATTTGGGTAATTGGAAGCCTAGGGTCAGCCACTAGGGATCATTAAGGAGCAAATGATTAATTTTAGTGTGCTTGTCTATTCTATAAAGGTTTGAAGGTGCTAAAAAGTTTATCTGGTGGAGGGCCCATCATTTGTTTGTCACATGGCGATGTCATTGCTTTGCCAGGAATGTTCTATCTTCCATTTATTCAGTTTCTTTTTTCCAAAAAGACTTGAAATTAGTCGTGTCACTTGCTTGTCTCCATGGAGATAGCTTTGTTTTATGCCAAGCAAAACAACAACAACAGCTCCATGAAGAAATGTAAGGTACACAGTACACCTTTTGATAACATTAAAGTCAAATTAAGGAAATGCATCACACATCCAAACTGTACTGTAGTCTTGTCATTATTCCACACTTGAAATATTAAGAGCTGGACAAGTGCCTTAGTTTGAGTGAAGCATCAGGAGTCTCTCACTGCACTCAGTTGCCACAGATATAAGATGCTTAGCAGCACTTGTGTATGTCTTAGCTGTATTAACTTAACTTTACTTTATATTAACTATAGCATACTACTGATATTACTGTATTCTTTTAGTATGTTGGAAGGCATAATTACAGATTTAATTTGCCTCTGGGTAAATCTATTGTTTTAGTTTACACTTGACATTTAGATTGAGACTTGACTATATCTGGCAACAAAGAATGAATGGTATTGAAGACCTTTGTGATGGTCTTAGTTTTGATGTTTAGCCTCAAAATTTAGAGGTAGAACAAATATGTGAAACACAAGAGACTAACCCATGGATACACACACCAAACATTATCCAAACATTATTGCATTGCACAGGATCACATTTGAGGTCTGCAAGCTGATTGTAATGTGATAGCTGGCTCTGCTCTTTTCAGTATTATTAAATGAGGCCAAATTATAATTCCGTTCACATGCAATCAATCATATATTACATTTTAATGTCATGTTTTTAGACATTGAAAATAGCTTGGACTTTTATTCCTGAACACCTTAAGTTGTATCATTAGGTGTAAGTTTTAAGAAAAGGTACTGATTAAAATTTAATCAAAAAGGTGATTTGAATTATTGTAATAATCAAATATATAATTATTAAGTAATAGAATGCCCCCCGAAATATTGTCATTTTGTATATGTCCAGAAGTGCATATTGAATATGATTTAGTTCTCTTCTTGTAGGTTAAATGTTAAAATGTGCCCTTTAAATAGAATGTATGGAAAACATAAATTATAACTGTAAGTTACAATTGTTCTGCCCTATATCAATCAAAAATAAAAAGTAGCATCTCTGAAAGGGTAAGCAGGGATAACCAACTTTAACATGGCAGCAGCAGACACTGATTGTCAGATGAGCACATAGAGAGAGACAGATCAGGATGTCTGTGATTGGCCACGGCCCCTCCTTCACTGCTCGTCTCTCAATAGCTCCATCAACACTGTTTCCCGTGGTAACCGCAGCCTCCCCTCTGACCCCATGTGAACAGAGCTGCAGGATTAGCCCACAGAGCCAATGCAAATGTCAACACAGAGCTAGCTAGTGCCACGTAGCAAGGAGAAGAGGCCTTACTGTTTTTCTGTTTTGTCAAGTGATTATAGAGATTCACTGTAAAATACATACATTTTCTTGTATCGATTGAAAATTCTAGATGTTTATGAATAATTTACCTCCATCTGTGGGTTTCAGAATGATGGAAAATAAGATCTGTTGACATTGTAGCGATTAATCATTTATAACAAAATATTATACTTGAATAAGAAAAATGTTGCTAAAAACCATGAATATATTTAATTATACTCCAGCCACCAAGCATGCAGATTTAGGATAGATTGGTTTCCCTAAATTGAATAATTGAGCCCTTTGATGTAATCGGTGATCTGATATGCTAAATATCTACTGTTGTTATTGTAATTGAATTATTATTATGTGAATAATGGATGCACGGAACATTTTCATAACATTGCTATAATGTACTATAATTATCTGTTTGTGAATGAGTGTTGTTCATGTTAAATGAAAAAACAATCCAGAATTAGTATGCATTGTTGGGCATATTAGATTTGTTATTGCCTTGACTTTTATCTCAACAGCTGCAGTGGAGGCCTGTGTTTTACATGGACTAAAGAGACGGGCAGCAGGATTTCTGCGCAGCAACAAGATCGCGGCTCTCTTCATGAAAGTAGGGAAGAGCTTTCCACCTGCAGAAGAACTGTGCCGGAAAGCCCAGGAACTTGAGCAGATCCTGGAGACCAAGTGAGACATGCTCTCTCTCAAGACACATCAAAACTCTTTTGATCACAACTGACTCACAAGTGTTAGCAAGCATTTGATATTCATTCATATTTATGAGACCACAGGACTTTCCCTTGATAAATTAAACTGAAAATAGAGGTTGTTTTCAAGTTGAGAAAGAGAAAGAGACCTTTTATTAGCCAAACGTTAGTCAATTGCTGCAGCATTTGCAGCAGAAATAGTAACCACGAATTAGGCCAAAACATGCATATTTAGCAGCAAATTCTACTGCTGATATTTTGGTCCTCTAGAATGTTATGAAGTATGAAAGCAGACAGTAATAATTATATATGTTTTGATTTGCAGGCGGAGTCAAAGTCTACAAAGTCAGGACAGTTTAAGAAAGATCCCGCGTCTACCAAGCCTCGCGCCGCAAACTGTCAAAAACCTATGGATACGCACTGCCTTGTTTGAAAAGGTCCTGGATAAAATAGTTCTCTACCTGGTTGAGAACTGCAGGTGTGTTAAAAAGGACTTTATGGTTTCAATGATGAAATGTTTTGTAACCATGCTGTTTTTCAGTAAATATTATGAGAAAGAGGCCTTGCTCATGGATCCTGTTGATGGGCCTATCCTTGCATCTCTGCTAGGTAATTTTTCTCTATTACATTATTTAATATAACACTGCCTCATATGGCACAGAGGAAAGGAGTCTGTGGAAAATTAACTTACACTGAACTTGTTTTGTGCAAGAAACCAGTAAATGTTATATTATATACTATTACTCTGTTTTTTGGCTTAGTTGGACCATGTGCTTTGGAGTACACCAAAATGAAGACAGCTGACCACTTCTGGACTGATCCGTCTGCTGATGAGTTGGTTCAAAGACATCGTATCCACAGTGGCCACTGTAGGCAAGACTCTCCGACCAAGAGACCTGCACTTTGTGTAAGAATCATACAGGGAAAAGCATTATTTTATGCACAATACTATTTATCACTTTTACTAGTTTACTCTCACTAATGGAATGCAATGTGCCCAGGAAGAACACAGTGTATTTTCAATCAAGTGCGTATTTGTATTTCAAGAGGGTTGCATTGTTGGCTTTCAACATTCAAAGATGAAATTACCCAAACACAGAGATTCTGTGATTTTTTTTATTTTTTTTCATGGAGGTCCAGTAAAAGAATCAGAAGTAGGGGGAAAAAATCATCTTATTGTATTTGCTTGCCCCCATAGCAACAACTAAATTTTTTTTTTTTAAACATACAACATTTTTATCATGAGATCATATAATTTGAGTATATACTGTACTAAGCCAATAACATGTGCCAAGTATCCTTATTAGCGAAAGGAATGCATTTTGTACTTGATGTTTGAAGAAGAGACAAGGGACATAAGTGAATAATAGCTTTTCAAATCCAGTGTGTTGTGAGTGATTGTGCTGATGAGGACCCCAGTCAAGCAACAATGTAGAACAATGATTTGATTTGTTTGTCTAGATCCAGAAGCGCCACTCAAGCAGCAGCATGGACGAACGCCCCTCCCCGTCGCCTTCAGCTCGTGAATATGTTGAGTCACTGCATCAAAACAGCAGGGCCACCCTTCTTTTTGGCAAAAACAATGTGCTAGTGCAACCGGTAAATATCTTCTTATTATCATTATTAATATTATTTCTTACCAGACTGACTGAATTTGTAATGCCAACTTTGTTATTTCTCCAATTGTAATTTTAGTATTCAGAATCATCAATAAAAGTAATTCTCATTCTGATTACATTTTGGAAAAGATTCTCTACATTTTTTACTTTGATTTAAATTAAATTCCTAACCCTAACCATAAAAATAGTACAACAGTCATATTACAAAAATCAGTTATTTGGCAGATATTAACTTCTAATTAAAATTATATTTAATTTACCAAAATAAACATGAATAATTAATGTTGCTTTGGATGTACGTAATCTTAAAAATAAATAGACGTTCTGTTACTTAGTGACAACAATTTAAGATAACTTACTATTTTGGTAACATGAGCTTTAACAAATGCTGTACTTTAACCTCAGTATATTTTCCATACAATGTCAGCGGGATGACATGGAGGCCATCCCTGGGTACCTTTCCTTGCACCAGACTGCAGACCTGATGACTCTCAAGTGGACTCCTAATCAGCTGATGAACGGTTCTGTTGGAGACCTGGACTATGAGCGCAGGTTCTGACTGTTTCATATGCCCATATTTAATGTCTAATATGGCTTCTTCTCTGCTCTGTTGATGTTACTCTGGGCTGTTGCTGAATAATGCAGTGTGTTTTGAGCTTCCTCTTCTGTGGATCTCACAAGGGTTATTTTCAGCCCACCAGCCGTCAGCAGATGGCTTATTGACTCAGACATCTTTCAAACCAGTAAACTGTGTTATGTTCCCGCGTGTGCATGGTTACTCTCACCAAAAAATTGATTATTTCATTAAGACTCTGGGTGTGCTGTTTATTAGCCTTGCTACACATGTTAAAAGAACAAATAAGAAAATGAACCTTCTTGTGTACTTTCCCTTCAGTTTTTATTGATCATCTAGTAATGCAGTAGGAAAGAATAAGGTTAAACAAATTAGGCTTGAACACTTCAGCAGTTATGATTATGGTTATGACTGCAGCATAGGTAATATAATTATTGTTCTGGTACTAATGTCTATTGTAAACCAGAAATTGTACTCATTTGAATGTTCCCAGCAGTGATTTGCAAATTTATTTTATAGTTTTTATGCCCATTCAGATTCCATCGTCATGATTTTTTCAGACTTAGAGCAGACAGAAAGAATATACTTGCTTCTGCATACCCAATAGTGTTCCCGACATTCTTATTTTGTTTTAATTTACTTTACCCCTTCCCTCATTTCTACAATGAATGATCTACCTTCCACTGTGCATTAACTTAAATGAAATATTAATTTCACATGGGTTCTATGCTGGATGCCATCTGTAAAGCAAATCATTTATACAGGCTTTAGACTGACTCAAGGAGCACACTTTCTAATGGACTTGCTCTCTTTTCTCTTACAATACACACAATTTAATTTGACATTTTATCTTGGTTTTCAGTGTTTACTGGGACTATGCCATGACAATCCCTCTAGAGGAGATTGTATATTTGCACTGTCACCAACAAAGTAAGTTTTGTTTCAGATCTAACTAAGTTTTTTCTTTGTATATTCAAAATTATAATGACCTGATGTTCATGCAGTCGACAGTGGAGGCACTGTGGTGCTCGTCAGTCAGGACGGAATCCAAAGACCCCCTTTGCGGTTCCCCCGAGGAGGACATCTGCTCCAGTTCCTGTCCTGTCTGGAAAATGGCCTGCTTCCACACGGCCAGCTGGACCCACCACTCTGGTCTCAAAGGGGAAAGGTCAGTACAGAATGGCCATTATTGGTCTCATCTTTAAAATCAAAGGCACCAAGACAAAATTAAGATCCTAAAAATACCTTAAAAAAGACAAACATTTATTGCTCAGAAAAAGCCGATTAACATAACTTACTTATGGCTGAAAGATCAATAAATCAATAAAAGAGGTATTTTTGAGAAGCACACTGTGGGTGGTTGGAGTGATGCTGATGAATGCTTTGAGCTCTTTGCAGTATCTGTCTCTAAAAATCAATGGGCAGAATTTTAAAATAACTCTATAAACAACTAGGAAATCCACCCACATTTGCTTGAACTATTATTAACCACAGAGCACATCACTTGGCCTGTTCTATGCAGGGAAAAGTCTTCCCAAAGCTGAAGAAGAGGATTCCTCAGGGCTCTACAGACTCAGTGTCAGACAAAGAGGAGGATGAAGCCACTGATTACGTCTTCCGCATCCTGTTCCCCAATAGTCAGTCCGAGTTTGGTGAGTGATGTCTCTCCTCCACTTTTTTGTGTATATGGTGTTTTAATAGCATGCTCTAATGTTCCTATAGAGGGTGTGCTTCCAACTATGTTTAAACTATACCACTGCAAAGTCACATTAACTCTACCATTGTCACTCATATATGTAACTCACATAACTCTCTCATTGTCACATGTCATGAGAGGCTGAATCAGACACACCTCTTTAGTCCTCCATGTACTGCTCAGTTTAACAGTTTGTTTGGACTGTGGCTTTTGGTGGGGATTAGGTGTTTAATCCTCTTTTCAGGAGCTTGTTTCATACATTACATTTACATTGACTGAAAACATGAGAAAAATGTTCCTTATTGACACAGTTAGAGAGTTATCACACAATCTAAAAGCAATCTAGACTCTATGTCTATGGGGCCACTTCTCCTCCTTGGCCCCCTGCTTTTTTCCATATATATTAATGACCTCCCTCAATGCTGTCTGTTAATGTTCAAATGTATGCTGATGACACTGTGTTGTATGTGTCTTCAAAAACACCTGCTCAGGCAGGTGAACACAAGAGTCATGCCTTTCAGCAGGTCTTAAAATGGCTTAGAGTGTCACACTTGACTTTGAATGTGGAAAAAACAGTTTCTCTTTGTTTTTCAGTGCATACACAAATAAAAATTGTGACTTTGAAGTGACTATTCACAATGAGAAAATTCAAACAGTTGGTAAAGTTAAATACCTTGGCCTCATTCTAGACGAACTCTTCAAATTTATCAGTCACACAAAATACTGACCAAAGAAGATTAAAACTAGTCTCAATTCTTTTCATTTCATACATAAAGATGCGCTCCACACTTCTAAACTATTCATGAACACAATGATCTTCTCTCATTTATCTTATTGTATAACCTCATGGTTGCAGGCCTCCTCAACCACACTGAAACTTCGCTGTTCATTTTACAAACTGACCCTTAAGATCCTTGACAAAAAGCTCAGACACTGGCACCACTGTGAAATTTTAAAGAAACATAAACTTTTTAACTTTGAAAATTTTGCCAATTTTAATAATCTTAAATTCCTTTTTAAGTGTCTTAACTGCAATACACCACTATATTCAGAATTTGCCAGGACCATAAAATGTACACACAGAGCTAATATAAGAGGTGCTACTAGTGGTAATTGCATTCTTCCTATGTACAGGACAACTCTTGGTTAGTCCTCTTCTCTGCTAAAGGGGCCAGACTGTGAAACTTTTACCCGCTGATTTAAAATTGGTAACCAATAACAACAGATTAAAATGTAAATAAAAATTATTATATGTTTCCAATCAAAAATGCATCCATTGAAAATGTTCTATATATATTTTATCTGTATGTAACGTATGGGTCTTGTATTGTCTGTTTTTATGCATGTAGTTTATATTTTTATATGAACAGGTGTTGAAAACTAGCACTTGTGCTAAAACACTCAAAGCAATGCATCTGGCTTGTCTAATGCGATTGTGATGTCCTTAATAAACATAAATAAAATAAAACAAAAAATCCATAGGTGATTTTTCTAGGATGGATAAATCATACATATTGTCTTGCATTTTGCAGCAACCACTCTATAACATGACACATTTTTTAAATTTTTCTCCAAAGTTGTCAGCCTCTATTAAGCCTTTTAACTTAGTTTGTACTTGTTGTCAACAACTTCGCACCTATACTGAAAGAAGAGGTATTTCATCATATTTTTGCTTTGTTTGTTTCAGTAGCTGTACCCTAGCTGCCCTATGTGAATCTTTCCCTGTCCTTTCAACCCAATGGACAGTGTTTTCCCAAACTAACTGGGACACTGGTTGCTGCAGCTGTTCTTATGAAAGCCCCTCACTTTTCAGTATTACCTGCAATCCCATATGTCTCACCTCCTCAAATCCTCTCTTATCAGCTGCACTTAATAACCATTTCAGCTCTTACTTTGCCACTGGTGACACTTATCGATGCTGTCGTGCTATTAAGTCTTTGCACACTCCACTACTTGCTGCCAGTTCCAATCACCCTCAATGCTCTGCATTTCAGCACAGTAACCTTTAAGTGAAGGACATGTAACTGATTGATTAAGGCTTGCGAATCGACTAAGGCCCTTGTTAAGCTGACTATTATGTTTTCCTTTGGGTTTAATTAAGCACAATGCAGGTACGACACAAAAGGGGATGCGCTTAAAATATATGGATACATTTATATTAATGTGTATTGTGTAGTATTTAGATGATAATTTACAGTTTATGTTCATTGAAAACTCTAAACAAACATATTACATGCTAATGCACTTCCAGTTTTGTAAAATGTAGTCACTATATTATGTTACCACTTTTTAAGATGTGCCTGTCTGCATATTTATTCTGTGAATTGCTTTATTAACAAGCATGTGCAAAACATTATTCATGGTTCTGTGATGATTCTGTGCCAGATCAAGGACAATAACTTTATATAATTACATTTAACTTCTGTAATGATAAATATTGCTCTCCATAATATTTACTGTTGTTTAAAACCAGTGGTGTGTCTGTAATGTTTTGTAGCTCCACCCCCAGAGCTAATAGACCGTGAGGCGACAATGTGGCATCCCTCCCTCAGGAAGTCCTCCTGCTCCTCCTGCTCTCAGGGCAGTTTCTCTGAGGGGATCACCCCCAAAGGATGCAACCATGAGAGGTGAGCCCCCTCAATAGCTTGTTTTCTTGGTCCAGATGATGATCATCATGGTTCATGATGATCTTATGATTTCACATATTTTTATCTGATAGCAAAGACATTGAATTTTGTTTAGTGTTTGTTACCTGTGGCTAGCCAGGACTAGTAATTACAGAGCTAATAACCATAAACCAGGTCAAGAGTTCTGCAATCTTGGCAGAAGTTTGCAAATTCCTCCATAAAATTTGGACCTGTCCTCCAACTCAGTGTTAAACTATTGGGATTCTAAAATGTTATGATGTACAGTCTATGTATGTGACCAAAGCACACACGTATGAATGATAGTGGAAGCACAGCTGTGAAAAATCAGCAATTACTTGGAAAAATTGTGACATTTAGATCAGCGATGATGATTACTGTAGATATCAACTCAATAGAGGACTGAAGTAAGCTTTGGCAATGAGCACAGCAAACAAGATAAGATATTGTGTGAATAAACAGAAGATTTACAATGATTCTTGATTCAAGTAATAATACATTGCTGCCTTTGAAGAACTATACCTTTTGTATGTAATTGTTGTCCTGTCATAAGTAATGAAATATGAATGAGTAATGCATCAATATTTCCAACTATTGTCAAACTTTTTAATGTGATTATTGTTTAAAATAATTAATTTTTGTGTTTGTTTTAAACCTCAGGGCACCTCTGAAGCTGCTATGTGACAACATGAAATATCAAATAATTTCCCGAGCATTTTATGGCTGTATGTATTCACTATCCTTTACTATAACCCGCACTCTGCTAAATCTCCCTTGTGTTCTTATGGGTTTGTGTTATTTATGATGTTGTTGTTGTCATTTAGGGCTTGCTTATTGCCGTCATCTGTCCACTGTGCGCACACACCTCTCAGCTCTGGTCAATCACACTATTGTGGACCCCTGTGTGCCCTGTGATGCTTATAAAGGTTTAACATCAGAAGTATGGGAGACATTTCTACAGAATTCTACTGTAAGCACTCAATCTACCTTCCCTTTGTTATATAGCCATGCAGGTCTCTGGCCGAGCCCTCCCAGCCCCCTCATCCATATTAATTTTCTGCTCGCCCCATTAGTTTCACTGCTTTGTGCATAAAGCATGACTAATGGTTCTGTCAATCCCCATATCTGTACTTTATTTGAATGTTAATTACGGTGTATTAAGCCGCCATGAGCCTTCTACTAATTAAAAAAGTAATGTTATAATGAAATGGTGGGGTTGTTTATTATAGCTGTCGTATTTCTATATAAACAAATTCTCTTTGAGTACTTATCTTCTGTGGTTTTCAAGGCTGTGCAGTCGAACCAATTACAGTGTACATGGATTTTATCTGAACTATTATAAAGGAAAATCATTCTTTGAAATGCAAAATGAAACAGCATAAAAGAACTAATTATAATTTCTAAATATGTTTTTTTAGTCCTATGAGGAAAACGAGCTGCAGCGTCTGGTGTATTTTGGTGGTGTGGAGCCCTCTCTGCGTAAAGAGGTGTGGCCTTTCCTTTTGGGTCATTATCAGTTTGGGATGACTGAAGATGAAAGAAAAGAGGTTGGTCTTCATTTTATTTTGCTCCCCAGGAATCTAGAAAGATTTTTAGAGCCAATTTGTAACAAGTGTGTGGCTCAATATTTCAAATCACCATCCATTAAAATGTTTGTATTAACCCACATTACATTACCTTGGTGATTTTATTTCACTATTTTCTCCTATTCATAATATAGAGCTTGGCTCCAAATTCACTCCTGTAATCGCTAGCTTTGCGAGCTTAATTTGAGTGGCACTGAACGCTATGGGTGACGTCACACTCGCTTAGTCCACTTCTTTATACAGTCTATGGTCCTACAACAAAATCCACTAATGTTTAACCAGATCATTTATTTCAACAAAAAGCAACATCACTCTAATATATTTATGCAACCAACCCCAATATAAACAAGAGACCGTTTACTCTTCATCCCAATTAACCACTGCATGGCTGTGGTATGTTATGATCTGAAATGTATATTGTTTGAACTTAAAACCATAGGTGGATGAGCAGGTGCGTCTGTGCTACCAGCAGACCATGTGTGAGTGGCAGAGCTGTGAGGAGATCATTCGCCAAAGGGAGAAGGAGCAGCACGCTGTAGCATTAGCCAAATGTTCCTCTGGGGCTAGCATGGACAGCTCCAGCCAGAGGATCGTGCATCATGACTCCACTGTGAGCAATGAGGTAAGCATTGCACATCCAAGGTAAATAAGGTGGCTCATTTTTATTATGTCCCTGGGGCTGTGGAGCTTGAATTATATTAGTTTATTTTGTTTTGTACAGTCATAAATATGTAAGTAGTGCTGAGTATTTTGCTTGTTTGCAGTCCTCCCAGAGCTCCGACAGGCAGAGTCTAGCTCGTCTGCAGAGTGACTCCAGCAACAGCACACAGGTATCCAGTTCCAACACATTCAACACAAGCCCCTTTCACATGTACTAATATTATATAACTATTTCAACATTTAACCTGACTATCTAGATCCAAACATTAGTAACATTACAATTGTAATTTTGAAGGAATGGAATGGCAAAACACCCTTGTATTTTCAGGAAGAAGGCCTATAATTATAGTATTAAGGCAGGCCTAAACTGTAAAATGACTCACACATGCTAAAAGAGTACTGAATCAGATTTTATGAAATTATAGCTTCATAACTAGTTGTAGCCCATAATTTCAAGAATGATAAAAAAAAAAATAAACCCTCACTGGACTCTCCTGTCTATTGCACTTATAAGATTTACTAGATATGCATGTGTGGAAAGGGCTTGTGACTCATTTGCCATTTTCACCATTGACAATTGCTTATATCTCCCAAAATGTTGAACCAATATTCCCCACCCCTCCACTCTTCCTTCGCCTAGTCTCTTACGTCCTCCCATCCCTTCCCCTGGAGTAGCCTGCTTCCCTTTGGCTTGTTCTTTCAGGTCTTTGAGTCTGTGGAGGAAGTGGAGCAGATTGAGACCGAACCCAGAAGTGAAGAGCCTAAACAATCCCAGCAGAAGATGCCCAATGGAGCGCTGCAGAATGGGACAAGCTCACCTGATTCAGGACACCCCTCCTCGCGCAATTTCTCTGTTACCTCAGGCTTATCTGATGGCTCACTCAGCACTGAGGAAAGTGCCCATGCCCAAGCTCCGCAAAGTCCAGGCAGACCCCCTCAAGATGTAGAAGATAATCAGGGAAAAAGCAAAGAGGAGGGAGAGACAATTCAATTGGAAATGCAGGAGAAAAGAGAATTTATGAATAAAGACAGTAATGAAGGTGAAATGAGGACAGAAGAGCCTGCTAATGCCATTATAGAGGCGTCAGAGCTGGTTATTGAATCTTGCCAAGAAGTAGAAAATAAGATGGGGAACTCCGAAGAAACCACTACATCTAAAACTGTTTTCTCAACAGAAGTGAATGACCAAACAGTGAAAGAAGCAGAGCAGAATCTTGTCCTATCCACAAATATGCCACAAACAGAAACTACCTACAACGAACATCAGGCCACCACAGAGTCTGATGAGTCACCTTCCGCCATAGAGATGGAAGAGATACCCAAAGCCAAAGTGTGCCTGGTGCCCTGGAGTGGCACAGGCCACAGTGCAGATGAAGGGGTCCCACAAGTAGGGGAGGGGAATCCCAGTCCAGAGGCAACAGAGTCTATATTGTCAGATGAGCCTGAAATGGAGAGCATCTGCCCACACTTTGACAATGAAGCAGAAGAAGTTAAGAAGGAACAAAACTCAGAGGAATCTACAGGAGGACCTTTCTCAGTATGGATACTTTTAAAACAGCTTAAAATATTGTTACACAAGAATTTACACATTCATTTTACGCTATTCTTTTGCATGTGTACTCCAGCAAGAGCTTTTGGATTTGTACACACTCAACCTTCACCGCATTGACAAAGATGTCCAACGCTGCGACAGGAATTATTGGTACTTTACACCAGCCAATCTGGATAAACTGCGAAATATAATGTGCAGGTGATTAAATGTTTGTGTTACATGTATTACCTATGTTATTGCAAAATAATATTTAATCTAAAATAGAGATACACAAATATATATCAACTGGTCGATGTTTGCACTTTTTAATTAATTGGCTAGTGACCTTAAATCTCCAGCACAGGCTGATATGTAGTTTTGACTGACATGCTGCTTAAAGAATAGACATAATGCTTAATTTGAACACTTCATTGCAGAGATAACTGCACAAAGCATGACTGCACAGCTTTCTTATACGTTTATGATCTAAAAAAGGGTTGTACGTTAATTAACTCTACATATAGACCCAAAAATATAGGCAGAGCTTATTGGCCATTGCTTTTGTAAACAACTGGTATAAATGGAAAGCCCTTATTGATCTGTGAGTGGGGGTTGTCTATCCATAGACTAACCTGTATCTAGGGTGCCACCTGCTTGTCTCCATAGACACTACCATACTGTGGAACATTCCAGGCAGAGTAATAACATCTCCTTGGAGACAACCATTTGGCAGATACTGCACCAGTAAATTTTGTCGTTAATTGTGTAACATACAGTGTAGATTGGCAATAATACTATTTCTTACCACTAACAGTGTCCAAATAGAATGGACATGTATGTGAGAACAATATAAAACTAAACTTATATGTAAAAGTATGTGGTTGCGTCTGCAGTTATATTTGGAGGCATCTGGATATCGGTTATGTGCAGGGCATGTGTGATCTCCTGGCTCCTCTTCTTGTCATTCTGGATGACGGTGAGTCAGGGTTGAATCATCTCATTTACTTTAATCTTTGACATCTTTACAGTTATGCTTGGTAAAACAATGTCGAAGTTTCCTGTATTTTTTTCCTTTTCCAGAGGCATTGGCATTTAGCTGCTTTTCTGAGCTCATGAAAAGAATGAATCAAAACTTTCCACATGGAGGAGCTATGGATACACACTTTGCCAATATGCGCTCTCTAATACAGGTGAGAAAAAACATGAATCAAAGTGTAGTTTATAACAAAAAAAAAAAATATATATATATATATATATATATATATATACTTTTTTTTTTTTTTTTGTTATAAATTTTATTCTAGATCTTGGATTCTGAGCTGTTTGAGCTTATGCACCAAAATGGAGACTACACCCACTTCTATTTCTGCTACCGCTGGTTCCTTCTCGACTTCAAAAGAGGTGATATTTGCACTTTTTTATGTAATAAAATTTTAGATAAAAAAAAAAAAAAAAGTATTTAAAGTGTACGTTTTGCCTTTCAGAGCTGGTGTACGACGATGTGTTCTCAGTTTGGGAAACCATCTGGGCTGCTAAATGTGTCTCGTCCAGTCACTTTGTCCTCTTTATTGCTCTGGCACTGGTGGAAATCTATAGAGACATTATCTTGGAAAATAATATGGATTTCACTGACATTATTAAATTCTTTAATGGTAAGAAAATTAATACAAGATATCTATTTCTATGTATTGCAAAAATCTGTCTATGAGCAAAGGATGGTTTACAGGAATTGGTTTACAAAAAGATAAAATAAAATCACGGGCCTACAAACTCAGGCCCTTTATCAGCTTTTGCCCTGATAGTTTGTGATATTTAAATTTGACATCAAAATAAAGAATAATTGTTTTCTTTTTCTCATACAATTCTTTGAAAGCATTTTTCAGTAATCTAAACTCTACTATCACTACTGTCCCAGTTCTTAGAACACTGATTGTCCCTTGTCTAACTTAAGCAAACATGTAATTATAGAAAGTTAATTGCATTCTCTCTTTCAGAAATGGCTGAGCATCACAACATAAAGCAGATCGTGACCTTGGCCCGAGACCTGGTGTGCAAAGTGCAGATGCTGATTGAGAACAAGTAATTATGATGCTCGTCCTATATGACTTCCTACCTGACTGTAGCAGCACATTAACACATCATACATAGAAGATATGAGGACAGCAGCCCATACCACAAACACACACACCGCACAGAGCATCTACTTTTACTGTTTTTGCTGCTATCTCTCTTCCTGGCTGTGTCCACTGTAGACCTGGTCAATGGTGTGTTTGCTGCTTCATATACTGTATGTTCAGGGGAAAACAAAACCTCCCACAAGTGTCTACGTCTATCTGAGTGCACTTACTACTATTAGATATTTTTAGTTTCTCTAGACAAAATGCAGAGCTGAATTCAACCAGAGATTATATTTATGACAAAATCATGAGATAATTGTTTATATTTATTATATATTAAAATATAACAATTTTTAAAAGTTATCTAACTCTCTTACCCAAATACTGAATGTTAACTTTATATCCAAATAATTTTATTATGTGTTAGAACACAGAGCCAAAGTGAATTCAAGTCCCTTGTAAAATCATACTTCTTTACACAGCTGTTCATTACAGCTTACTGTGATTTAACAACTATTTTCTGTGTCTTTGCTTTGTCTGCCAAATAGTATGTTTAAGTGGCCTATACTTTATTAAGAAGAAAATTATTATTAAAATTATCTCTGTACTTTAACTATCCTGCTATTCAAGGGAATTGAATGTGAATTAATGTTTAAACAACAAGCATCATTTAGTCATCATTAAAGTTTTAACCATTGTAAATTGTGCACTTTTTTTATTTCCCTTGTGTCAAGTATTGTCTATCATCTGTCAGTTGAATTCAAGCTTATATATTACAGTGGAAATGTGTCAAATAGTTTCGTTTAATGTTATTTAAATATGTGAAAGAGGCCTGGGTATTTACAGTAGAGATATTTTTTCATTAATCTTGAGAATACACTTTCAGCATGAATCTCTTTATTGTCACTGAATTATATTCAAGTAATTAAAAACTGTTTTATGTGACCATGAAAAATCTATACAACTGTGTTGCTGAAGTTAAAAAACAACAGGTTTTGATGTGTCCTCTTGAGGTGTTTTATCAATGTTATTATGAGCTAAATACTGTGTGTTTGCTTAAAAGCCTATATGCCAATATCAGAGTGTTTTAATTATTGCAACAATGTCCTTTTTTGTTCAACTAGGCTACATACATTTTCAAATGCTGCTTTGTTTGTACTGTATTTATTTTGTGCCAGATATTTATTGTGAACCAAAACAATCAAATTCTCTAGTATATTGAATGGTATATGTTTTTACAATAAAAATAAAATGGAATGAACGTTATTTTTCCTAAACAAATGTGATATGTATTCACTAAATTTGTCAATCTCTATTTCAAGAAAGGCCTAGACCCTAAACTATTTAACCTAGCCTTTTTAGAGGCCATGCTTTTGCTATGGCACATATAACTGTAACGTACTGTAAGATTATCAAAACATTAACCTATTATTTGTTTGCATGTACCTGCATATATCCTGAGGCTGATATGTGCTTAAGAAACAAAACATTTTTAAGAAGATCAGGGGGAAAAACGTCGCCCGAACAGGGACTTGAACCCTGGACCCTCAGATTAAAAGTCTGATGCTCTACCGACTGAGCTATCCGGGCGCTCATACGATAAGAAAAGCATTTGCAGTTCAAATAGTAAAGCACCGTATGACATATGACGTGAAACGTATTATTATAGTTACTAGAGGAGTAACTAATAAATGCAACCTTTTGTTGTTAACACGACAAATATATATACATAAATAAATAGAACAGGTGTAAAAATGTTACTACTGTTGGGTGTCTTCGCCATCCATAGTTTTGCAAATGGCAAAAACAAACCAGGAAGTGTTTGAACATAATTTTCTTGAGTTCTTCCCTCCTCATGCGCCAAATGCTAACGAAAGAGCTAACAGCTGAACTGCTAAACTTTAAGTAGCACATTTGTGTTGTTATGTTTAAATATAAAACCAATCAGTTTAGAGATTAGTGAATTCATGTGATGTACCAAAATGCGACTCCGAACATCTTGGCTAACTCGACCTTTAATTTACGCACGTTTTATAAACTGTTACCTGAAGCACTCAAAGAAAACTCACAGCATAATTTTCGCCTATTCTTACAGTTCACGGGGAGACAACAGACTATCCAAGGTAAAGATAAAATTGTTAAATGACAATGTAAAAACATTTTCATATTCTATCCAGTCTAATAATATGTTTTAGGTACCCCAAGTTCCCACGTGGGAACCCGTTTTGGAGGGCCAGCTGCCACCCGTAAATATGAATAAGCCTTTATATTGTTCAGCGTCTGTCCTGGTTATTGATTGTAGTGTATAATTTTTTTTTTTCAAATATAATTACAGCCTTCTACTGTCCCACTTGATCTTGTGGACAAACTGGAGAGACTGGCCTTGGTTGATTTCCGAACTAAACAGGGACTGTCCTGTTTAGAGAAAGCTATTAGATTTGCTGACCAGCTTCATGTTGTAGACACATCAGGAGTTGAGCCTATGTATTCTGTTCAGGAAGACAGGTAGGCTTGTAGAACACTGAGTATTTTCATGTTTTGCCAGAAATCTCTATCGCCTACATTAGATGTACATGTATAATTAATTAAAGTCATTATAATATTTTTAGGGTATTATTTTTGAGAAGTGATGTGGTAACAGAGGGTAACTCTGCTGACAAGCTGCTTGAGCTTTCCAAAAACACAATAGAGGAGTATTTTGTAGCACCCCCTGGTGAGTCCCAAGCCTGTAAACTTACCATATTTAAACTCAGTTTAAATTGTAATAAAATTGTGAATCAACTCAATCCTTTTATTTTATTCCTACAGGAAACATTCCTTTACCAAAAAGAGAGGAGAGGGCTGCCATTCTCAAAGACTCTGAATTCTAATTATTTATTTGTAACAAACTATACATGTGAATAAAACTGTACATTAGTTAATCTGTGCTCATGACTCATCACATTTACCATCTACACTATATTACACAAGTGCTGCTTTTGTCTGAATAAAACAAAACAATAACAGAATCACTTAGGGAGAACAGAAAGTGAAACCTATGAAGTCAGTCTCCTAAGTGGGAAAACGAATCTTACCGTGGGTGTGTCCTAACAGCTGAGCTGTGTATAAAAATTCTGAGTTCTCAGCACCCTCACACTCAGCACCCTCACCATTGAAAAGCATTTGTTAATCCTGATAGAATTATACAAGGTAAGTTTAAGAAGAGCAGATTGCATTTAATTTATTTAAGGTATAGCTATAAATATGTCTTTTGTATTTAAGCTTGTCCTGATGGATATCACGGTCAAAATGCTAAATGGGAATTCTGTCAAGCTGACGGTGAACCCCGGGGACACTGTGGCTTCCTTGAAGCGCCTCATTCAGAGACATTTGAATGTCGCCCCGCAGTGCCAGAAGCTCACCATCAGCAACGGGCAGGTCAGAATCCTCCAAGATAACTCCAGACCACTGAGTTATTATGGATTAGCGCCTGGCTCAAATGTGTCCCTTCTGGTGGTCGAACCAACAACTGTCCAAGTATTTCTGAAGAACGAAAAGGGTCTGACCAGCACCTATGACATCGACCCGGATGAGACCGTGCAAAGCTTCAAAAGTAAAGTGTTCTCCAGAGAGAAGGTCCCTGTGGACCAGCAGAGGCTCATCTACGAGGGCAAAGAAATGATGAACGGCAGACTTACAGACTACGGCGTCGAAGCACTTGGGACCATATACCTGACTCTGCGCCTGCGAGGAGGTTAAGGACTCTCCCCACTTATTTAGAATGATTTTATTTAACCTCTCATTGATAATTTATAATATTTCACTTGTTCCTGATTCATTTATTGTAGATTCATTTTGCTATATAGCTACATTTGTGACTATAATCTGTGTTTATTCTCTTTGACTAAATAAAGTTATTATATGTAAGAATTCTTTCTGTACTCATTCTGCTCACTCCCTATACATTTAAGAGCTCATCAAGTGTGTCATAAACCACTTATCACATACAAATAAACAGGGCACAGAATACAAAATTTGGCTCGGAAATTTAGTATTTTAGATATGTCTATAAGATTACATGATCTTTTGAGTGTTAGAGAAGCAAAAAGGTTCAGGTACACATTTTATTAAAATTAGAAAAGTGTGTGGTGTGGTGTTGTTGACAGTGATGGCTTCATTTCCTAACTGATGCAAGATAGGCATACCAAAAGAAGGCAATGACGTTGGCAAACAGCACCCTGAACTGAAAGCAAAGAGTAGAGTTGTTATCCAAAAATCACAACAATCACAACAATGATGGGAATATAAATGGGTCACCTGCACAGGCACAAAGTTGACGTTCACAAACTGAAAGGGAGTCCAGACTTTCCAGTTCATTTTTAAAGCAGTCCAGTAACTACTTTTCATTTTTCTCTCAAAGTCACTCCACCCTCTAGCCTAGGATATATTGTCAAAATCACACAAGACTAATTAGGTGATTACTGGATGCAATCATTGAAACTGTAAAAGAGAACCTGTGTTTTATAGTAATTTTGTTGTATTAATACCCAACTTATAACAAAATATCAGCTATCCAGTTGGACATTACTATTCAACATTAAATAATTCCTTATTATGTACCTCTAGGACAGTTATAACAAAGTAGAAGAGAAGAAGGAAGGCAGGGGCAAAAAACAGTCTATCCAAGAGCAGACGCTTGACAAGGCAGTAACGGTCAGTGGTGGGCATCCAGACCTCCATCAGCTGGTAAAAGTAATGGCTCAGAGGCCCAGTGAAGAGCAACCTAAAATGAATAAAAATAAAAATGAGTTCAGTATGAGTTTGATTCCTGAGCAGGTAAAGGTACTGTTGGTGGTTAGTTTCCATTTCCTCAGGCTGGGAGCTCTGGTTTTCCCCTATCAAACCAAAACATGCACAACAGGTTAATACAACAGTGGAGATGTCAAAATATCAAAATTTAGAGTTGTTATTATGTTAACAAACACACACACAATTTTAGCTTATTCATGAATCATGATTAATCCCATGTCCAAACAGTGAACTGTAGTTGCCCACTACAATGGATGGCAGAGGATCACTTTCCCTACATAGAAAATAAATCCTAGCTCAGTGTTAAAATAATTTTAATCATTCATTCAACAATGTTATAATGTTGTGTATTGAACAATGTGCGTGGCTCTCACCCAAATATGGCATAGCGGGCTGCCCCACCTCTGTCAATCTCTTTGGCTGCTGCTCCCTGTTTGGCCTTTTTTTTTGCCTCCAAAACTTGCGATAAAAGATTTCCTAATGCTGATAGGATGGCACTGAAATGTCACAAGATCAAAAGCAGACAAGTAAACAGCTACTACCATACACACATGCCAAATTTGTGAGGGTGAATAAATCCTAAGGGGAGGGATTATAGAGAGCCTCTGATTGGACAAGACTGGAGGAGCAGTGAGGGTCGCTGCAAACCAGATAATAAATAAAAACAGAATGTCACTGCATTTGCTTTGTACAACTTAGCGTTATTTTACTATCACTTGAGTTAAACGATGTGACGGGAAGCCTTGTGGATGTTAGATGAAGGGTGGACTAAACTTGACCCAGAGCGACGTTGCCTACCTCGTTACAGATTTTGTGAGTATGGGATACTTCTTGAGGAGCATGAGATACTGCTGAAGAAGACTGAAATGAACGGATGCATCCCGAACAGGCACACTTTGGACAGGCATTGTACACAAGCTTCAGCTATACTTACTTACTCACTGTACAAATCAAACCAAACCCATGGTGGTGTGCAACTTTTCCTGTTAGCGTCACTGTCAGATTGAGAAACCACGCCCCGATTCAACCCATGTCTTAAAGGGACATGCTTATGTTTTCAGACAAAGCACATAATTACACAAAGAAAAATTAAACTAAGTGTTCTGCAAATGTAAATCAATCAGTTGTTGTTATAGTTACCCTGTGAATACCACTGCAAGATTTTAAACAAGGTTTTAGGGGAAACACACTCTCACAAAAGTTCATATAGAAATCAGGCAATATTATTCCAAATCAAACACAGCATCTGTCCCAATAGCAGAAAGGACCAACTAGTATCACTATAAAAGGTTAAAAATATGTGATGTACTGTATGACAAGGTCAAACTAAAAGGAACCAACGATTATCCAATGATAAATACCATCTGGTTACCTCTTCTCCGATCTGGAGCTACAATCAAGAATCATTTGTTGTTCAGACTGAAGCAAGTTTACAAAGTAAAGAAGCAAACTATAAAAACTTTAATGACACAAATTTAAACAGAGTTACAATGAACAAGTTAAGTGTTATTTTGATTTGAATAAAGATCAAACAGTTTGGGGTGAAGTAAAATATAGAAACAGGATAAACATTGTTAACAAGCTTATAAAGGGGTGTTTGCCAGTAGTAATTATAGCTGTTATATTAGTGTTCAAAGTGCTTTCCAGTCAATAGGCAACTTTCCAGATTCCATCAACAACTCATTGGCTTTTGAAAAGTGTTTGCAGCCAAAGAATCCCCGATGTGCCGACAGGGGGGAAGGATGTACAGCCTTGAGGATATGATGCAGTTTCTATAAAGCATTAAATTAAAACCATAAATGTGATAAACAGCATTCATGTTTAGATATGCAGCTATTCTACACCTACCCGGTCAATAGCTGCACCCTTTTTCTGTGCATATGATCCCCACAACATGAAGACGACACCACTGAGATTTTTGCTGAGCGACTGAACCACTGCATCTGTGAAGGTCTCCCAGCCTTTGTCTTTGTGCGAGTTGGCTTGGTGTGCCCGGACAGTCAATACAGCATTGAGCAACAGCACTCCTATGTTCACATAGAAAAACAAAAAATTCACACACACACGTTAAAAAAATAAAGACGAACATAAAGAAATTACCTTGCTTGGCCCATCCAGTTAGATCTCCATGCCCAGGGTGTGTAAAGCCATCAATATCAGATGTTAGTTCTTTGTACATGTTCTCCAGACTAGAAAATAAAATCAATATATGTGGTTCTATTGGGATAGTATGCAATAGGTTACATCACTGGAAGCATTTTAAAGTATTATAAACCTTGGAGGAGGTGGCACTGGCCTCTTCACACTGAAGCACAATCCATGGGCTTGGTTTGGACCATGGTAGGGGTCTTGGCCAAGAATCACCACTTTCACCTGGAATAATTACACAAGTCTTCTTTACACTAGCATAGTTACAAAAAAAAAAACAACGGATTTATTGCAACATAGAAATATGAAGTTTCATTAATTACAAATAACTGGGACAGTTGTAACTTACATCTTCAATAGCACACATCTGGGTCCACGCAAACACCTCTTCTGCAGGTGGGTAAATTGTATGACGTTTCCTCTCCTCCGACACAAATGCCATTAACTGCAACAAGATAGCATATGGAGTAAGAAAGCTTTCAAAAATATTCGTGTGCAAAGAATAGAAATCGGTGCGTATTTGGGAAATCCGTGCATATTTGGCTGACTGCTCGCTGTGGCTGTAGCCGCGAATGTTTTAATTTAAACATACAGAGAACCTTGATATTTCCTTATTAGCCCTGGGATAACGTTACGTCTGATGTTCGCCAACTGGCTACCACTATGTTATCTAAGATATAGGTGCAATTTCGTGTTCAGAGGAGGGATTTCTACATAATTACACAGCAGCGTTCGATTCCCGAATTCAATGTGGCAAGACAAGACATTTTTAAAATAAATTTTAATTAACCCACTTGTTGCTGTTGTACGCTCTGCTGTTGTAGCTTCTTGTTGTGCCATTACTGTTTTTACCCTCTGCTACAAACTTAAGCATACTCAGTCTTGATCTTGATCGATGTTTCTTCTGCTCGATAAATAATGTCTGAAGTGATGCCGTATTTTTGACAGTAAAGTCCCATCTGTGAATTCGTATTTGTACTGATGAAAGCGTAATCGTAAATTTTCATTTCGTGATTGTAATTGATGGATAAAATACACACAATATATTTTATGTACGGCTGGACCCATTCGAGTAAAACAAATATTTATTTTATGCGCAACTACAGCCAAATACGCACGGATTTCCCAAATACGCACCGATTTCTATTCTATGCGCACGAAGATTTTTGAAAGCTTTCTTACTCTTTCTTACATAATAACAGGTCACAGCGCATCCACCAAGAACAGACAGTAACTTCTGCGGACAGGAAGCACCTCACCTGTTTAAAGTAAGGCTTTCCAAACTCCGCAGACAGACTCTTTCTCCAGCTTTCCCCGAATCCTGAGACACCGGAGGAACGTTTCTCCAGCGCAGCTTTTTTGTTGCGGGCGATTCTTTCCAACTGCTCCGGGGAGAGAACAGGTCCAGGCGAGCTAGAAAGTGCTGGCTCTGACTCCGTCGCCACGAATTTTCGCTTCTTTGACATTATTTTGGTGTACAGAGTGGAAGAAAAGGTCAGTGAATAAGACACAGGAGACAAACAACGCCTGTATGCAAGAAACATTCCCTAGTCTAGCTGAGTGTGCAACAAAACAGTGGCGCTGTTGAATGCAGCTCGGACAGCCTCACATACCAAAATCATTCAGACGCGAGACCGCTTGTTTATACCTAACGTGGCAATATAAAACAATTACCCTATCGTTAAACGGTAACTTTACATCAAATGCTCTCAAGAAGGCAAGACGTTCCTTTGCAAAATTTACTATGATCTGTTACTACTAGACCCACCGCTTCTTTGGCCTCTTCTGCAGTTGCACTGAGGTCTTTAGAAGTTCTTTTCTTAGACACAGGTGAGAAAAATGAGTTTATGGTCTTCTGTCCAATCATTTCGTCTAGACCTCTTCACTAAAATACCAATTTGCAAGTAAAATAAATCCTAAACGATAAATGCAGTGTGGGTGATTTCGCGCCAGAGAGTCGATGAAACGGAAGCTGGGATATGTTAATGAGCTGAGTAGCGTTCAAGCGCACTTCATCATGGCTCTATTGCATAGACTAATATAAATATAAATATATCCTGCATCTAGGGGTGGGCATGCAAGAAACAAAAAGATCTTCTGTGAATACTAATACAACAAAGAAACTCAAAGTTGAAGAGGATGAAGTGAAGGAAGAGGATGTTGATGACGAAGACAGATTTGGCAGAATTTTCAAATCCCGTTCCATGGCAGAAAATTGAATCAGAGGAACTTGACTGTGATTATGCTCTTCTATTCCCCAAAGAGGAAGCTGATGCCCTCTTCAGAAAGCTGGAGGAGGAAATAGTGTATGCAACAGGTAAATTACGTAGACACAGTCTATGGTAAATTATTAATGTTTGTAAATGTCTGTATGATTAAAAATGTATGTCTTTTTGATGACATTGTATTCTTTTATGGTAGGGGAAGAAGCACAAGTTCATGTATTTGGGAAAGTTTACAACATCCCAAGAAAACAGGCGACGTATGGAGATACTGGCCTTGCTTACACCTACTCTGGGGTTAAACGTTTAGCTTGCCCCTGGACCCCAACTTTGGAACATATCAGGGAAGTGGTCACTAAAACTACTGGACAGATTTTCAACTTTGTCTTGGTGAACAGGTAACATGGGCAAATCATAATCTGTTTTTTTTTTTTTTTTTTTTTTTTTTTAAATTAAGTTTTCTGTCAATCAGGTATAAAGATGGTTTGGACCACATGGGGGAACACAGAGATGATGAGAAGGAGTTGGATCCTCTCTCTCCAATTGCCTCTGTATCTTTAGGAGCTGCACGGGACTTTATTTTCAGACATAGAGATGCAAGAGGAAAACACAACCACCTACACATTGACCCCGTGAAGTTGGAGCTTGCTCACGGCAGCTTACTGCTCATGAACCCACCAACAAACACATTTTGGTATCACTGTTTACCCATACGCAAGAAAGTGACGACGCCACGTATTAATCTCACATTTAGACGGATTTTGATGAGTGGTAAAAAGTGTATCACCTAAATTATATAAAAAAAAATATGTGTAGAGAAATTGTGAATTGTAATTTATACAATGAAAAATTATTGGAGAGCCAATCTGACAGTCTTCGCAAACAAGGGCTGTTTAGTGGATTATTTCAGTTTATTATCTGAAAACAATATTTACATTATCCATATTTTCTATTTTACAACTATACACACACAATCACCATGTATAAAAATTGTGTAAATTGGTTGTACCAGAAGATGTTCTAATGTTGAACTTGACACTGTTAGGAAAACCACTACATTCACAGGACAGTAATTTTGACAACATGTTATTATAAATTTGTATTTTGTTCACTTAAAATGTTATTTTAAAATTGTTTATTTTTGGTGCAACAAAACCTTTCAATAAAATGTGATAACTTCATTAAAAGTTTTTTGACTGATCATTCCTTACTGGGAATATTTTAGGCAATTTATTTATTATTTTATTTAATTCCTGCTTTAGTTCATAAACAATGATTCACATCTTCACATCAGTTCACATCTGTGCCACTAAAATGTCAGGATAGAAACGTTTCTACAAAAAAATAACCAAATCTGAAAAACTATATTACCAAACCAGAATATTACCATTCATGGGACATACTACGACTTTGTTCAAATGTTCCTGCATTGTTCATAATCTTTAGAGCAGTTCCCACTAGTAAGAAGCACAAGTGTTCATAAGGTGCAGTAAATGGCCTCAGCGATGGCTTTCATTCCCAGTTTTGCACTTGCAATTAACCAATTCAAAGTAAAAATGGAAAGGCAAAAATGAGTTGCTAGTACAAGGTTAATTCCTTTAATGCAATCCCAAGGATAGTCTTCGTACCCTTTCATAGAAGAGCATGTACGCATTTGAAGACAGAACCTCATGTAGGCTTGCTTTGCGTACAGAGTCATCGGAGACCCAGAGCCATTGAGAGCTGAAGGGTGAGGAAGTGCAAACTGAGGCAGGGCTGCGACGATACGTGATGAAATGTCCCGAATGCATGTCTCCATGGTGAACCAATACCGCTGTGAGTTGGAATAAATACTCTGCAGAACTGTGAACAAAAATAATACATTTTACTCTAAAAAAATATTATAATATATTGTATGGGCAAAAAGTAAAATTATCAAAAAGTTACTATATCTTACCCTAAATCACACGAAATGCTAAGCTGGGGTCTCACACCAGCAGAATAGTGAAATAAGGATGAACAGTTTCCATTTGAAAAGGGTTTGTTGTTGTTATGGTGCTCTTTTTCTATTAAATCAAGTACAAGTTATTTACACCAGAAATGAGCACTAAAATGATCTCATATGAATGGCATAGGCCTCATACCGGCGCCATTAGCAGTAGGTTTAACTACTGAATCCTCTTCCAAACTAGCAGTTTTCAGGGGTGTTGGGGAACATTTGACAGGCACAGCCCTTTGTTTTGAAGTACTGTGTTTGTAGTGGTCCATAGATAAGAACTCAGAAAATTGGACATGTTCCTGTCTCTTGATAGGACTGCCTTCATTTGACCATGTAAGTCTTTGTAAATGGATACAAAGGCACTGGGGCAACTGGAGAAAAAATATGTAAATATGCAACAATTATGAACTCATGTATGTTATAATAAAACTCACCTTTCCTAATTTAAGCTGTTTGACAAATGTTGTTCTTTGACTATGTAAAACCTCTAATGTTCCTTGTTGAAGCTGTAAAAATAACAGTTAATTATATGTTTTGAGCATTAACTACAAATAATACTGAGAATCAAGATTTCACCTTTGTGCAGTTTTCACATTCCACCTCTTTGATGGTTTCTGATGATATAAAGTGTTGGAGACACTGGTCTAAAGAAACTGGACGACCCTAAGGACAAAACACATTTCATGAATGAACATACTCTTGCTCTATAGAGATAGTTATAGATACTTACCCACTGAGGTAAAGGTATAGACAAGGAAAGACTGTCAAATGAGTCATATCTCACAGGGCTCTAAAAAAAAAAAAAAAAAAAAAAACTTTACATAAAGCAGCAAATAATGAAATGTGAATTTCAGTCAGACATACTTGGTGTTCACATCGCTTGCATGACATGTTGCTTGTTAAACGTCCATGAAAAGGATGCTGAAATTTCCAAGTACTGGGTATTGGATGTAGCGGAGCTATGGGAAGAGAAAAAAAGTAGCATAAGTATTTTTTATTGGTTATTGTTATTAAAATGGTACTTTAAATAACCTTTTTACCTCGACTCCTACATGCCATATTTTTTTCCTCCTCTTGAGACAAAAACTAAAAAGAAAGGTATATGGTAATGTTTTCATGTCATCAACCAATTTTTGAGAATGCCTTCTTTCAGAACCACTGTGGTACAAATATCTACATCTATGTGTCTACATCTAAAGTGTGAGATCTAATTTTCTCACTTTATTTTCTGAATAGAGTATGAATTGTTAATTGAGACTTTGGGAATTGCAAAATGTAGAACTTTGGAATGGGAACAATTAGTATGTTGTCTAAAACACCAAGAAACATCTATGTAGTTGAAAGATAACTTACCTCAAGAGACTGCATATCAAACAAGTGAGTAACTTTGGGTTCACGATCCCGCTCCTCCTCCAGAGATGATGTAAGAACATGAAAAAGTTCATGGGCATCCTATGACCATTGAAACAGAAATAGCAAGATGAGTTTTTGAAGTGACAATTTGATAAATACAAGCTCACCTGCTCTTCAAATGAACTGATGTGCCAGCGGTACAATCTAAGTACATCCAGGACGCACCCAGCATCAAGTATGTCTTCCTCGCTGGGCTCATCACCGGACAGAGCTGCAGTGTATATATAACAGCAATGGTAATAGACTTGTTATATATAACACTTTATCTGCACGATGTATTTTTTCTGGTCAGAGCTGGTCAGGAGATGCAAGCCCGCTTACAGAAAATTCACAAATGCTTATACAAGAGGGATAATCCATGCATAAGAGGCGAAATCCTCTAGCTACAGTAGTGCTGACCAAAATGAGCACAAGGTCTGGAGATGGGTCCCTGGGCAATTATTTCAAATTTGGTAACAAAAACTGACAAATAGGGCTCCCATCAGTCTCCATTTTTGATTTGGTTTTCTTATTGAAGACATAGGTGGACATCTTCATAAACACAAAGGGAGAGACTGATCTTTGGCAATACTTATTTCTTTATGACGTTTACTTGACGACAACAGCATTGGCGAAGGGTAAGGGTCAAGCCAAGAAAAGTGACATTTTTGATGGTGTCGCCTAACTTTAAAGAAATAAAATAAAGTTTTATCAACTTTACGAATCAAATTGCGCATCATCGCTCTTTGGCATAATGCATTATTACAAACCTTCCCAGTGGCACTGAAGGATGGGGAAAATGGAAATGAGAACAAATTACCCCCATGGGGGATTATTATACACTTTAATGCCATAATGTCCATATATTCCAGAAAAAGCAGTCTACATGGAAACAACTAGGTGGGCCACTGCCTAGTTACTACTACCAGAAGAGTTGCATAGTGCACTTTTAAGATACCTGCAATTTATACCTTTGAGAAGTTTAAGAAGAGTTTCGGATAGTGGGGTTTCCCTGGATGACAGAGTTGACTGGGAAAATCTCTCAAGCCATATGACAAAGGAGGGACATGCTGCTAAACCTTGAAGCAAAGAGTTCAAAAAGCATGTGTTCCCTAAGTTCAAAAGACCTGGAACCATTCCTATGAGGAAACAAAACAAACAATTGACATGCATCAAAACAGAATAGTGCTTGTATATATTGTATTTACAATGTTTAGCTTACCTCTCTTTCGCTTCCTTTTCTCCGTTATTGGACCCCACAGCACATAAACTCCAGCTGCAATTGCAGCAGCTATCCCCCCAATTACGCCACAATGTTTGATCATCTTGTTTCTGGAACAAATCAGAAGTTTAAAATAAATGAGTTCTAAAGAGCCGGTTGTCTAATTAGTATTCCAACTATTATAAATGCATTCCCAAAATAAAACAAAATTACATAATGTGTGTGCGCAAGAGTGTCATATACTGTTTTAAGTATACAAATACACAAATGGCAGTCAGAACGTATCATTGTCATGTGTTGAATTGTGTTGTCTGTCGTGTACACAGGACCTGATGCGCTATACTATATTTGACCAAAGGATCTGGATTAACAATAAATACGCCTTTATTGATTACTGCTACTACAAACACAAGTAACATTTCCTAAAAAACAGATTTAAACAAACATGCTAGCAGAAGCCATTGTTAGCTAGCAAAATGGATAAACTTACCCAAATAATCGATCATTCTTTAAAATATATAGCCTCTATCAAAACGAAAAAGTATTATTCACCAAGTATATTAAAATCACTGATAAACATGAATTATTAAGATTAAGTGGTTTAAAGTTAAACGCAAAACAAGACGTGCGTTTGGTTGGTCAGATTGTAGCACAGTACTTCGGCCCCGTGACCCCTTCACCCAAGAGCACTTCAAATCAGCTTTTAAGTGTGTCTGCCAAGGACGGTATTTACCTGACCACGTATCCAGTGCCAAGAAACTGCCCAATAAGCTTATCTGAGCTCTTGGGTCTACACCACGCCATACTACTTTTACAGCGGAACTCTTTTACAGCAATGTGTTTCCAGGCGGAAGAATTACGAAACGGACCCTCTGTGTATTTGTAAATAAAACGTCATATAAAACACCACTTATTTCTATGCCAGTGTGCAGTCAGCCCATACTTTGTTGTGCGATTTCCAAATAAAAATACAGTGTTCATCCCAAAACGTACATGTAGATGATTAATATATTGTCTGTGTTTGAATAAGTTTGAAACAGTAGGCTGTTAAAATAGGTTTTCATAGACATAATATAATAACGAATTATGTTTTAATGAAAGAGTGAGAATAACGTAATTTATGATCCATTGGTCCTGTCCAATATTATGATGGGTGTATTTTTCCAGTGAGTGCGTTGGCTCACGGACTCGTGTTTGTGATTGGCTGTCTCTGCGCACACGGAGCTCTCCTCGGTGCTGAAAGCTAAAATCTCTTCACGTATCAAAACAACGATGCTGCCCAAATTGACTGTCAATAAACAGTAAAATGGACGATGACCTTTTCCAACTTCGTCAGCTACCGTAAGCAAATTGTGTCCATGGCTATGTGTGTAATGTTTAGTAATGCTTAACATGAAAGCCTCCACACAGCTACTTAGCAGTGTGCTTTTTTGATTAGCTGGCTAATCAAAAAAGCACATTGGCTAATATTTTACAACATTTCAGTAATGTGTATGTATACGTTCGAGAGGGTTACACTATTTGGAAATGATTGTTCGAGTGGGGCAACTGAATGAAATATAGAACAAAGCTTATAGCTTTACTCTTATTCTCTTGATTGATTTTGTCTGAGCTGTAATCAAGTTGACACGATCGTCGTGACAAAGCTTAACAAAAACAATCACAAAAACATTGCTCAAATTGTGGATTTTTTTTGTGTTTTTTGTCCTTGCATCTCATGTAACACATAAAACATACCAATGTGATGCATGTTTAGTTCTTCCTTGCATTTAATTACTATAATCAACTAGGATAGGAAGACTTTTCACACTGTGTGATCCAACCACAGGAAATTATAGGCTTCACAAAATATCTAGACACTTATCTTCCTACTAAGCACCCACAAGTGAGAAACAATGTTTACTCATCACAGATTACCACAGGTGTCAAGCTAACTATTGCTTTTTAGGATCCTACCCTTTATAGCCAGTAGCCAGTCTGTGTCACAATCTATCATAGAAATAATCATACATCATAATAATTTATTTTCCTGTAGAGTTGTTCGATTTCGTCACACAGGGGACAGTACACGCTCTGAAGATGAAGCTGAGAAGCAAGAGCAGGTTGTTCAGATTGCTGAGCAAACCACTTTTGAGTCTGTGGCATGTACAGAAGGACCTCCAGTTCCAAGGGAATTTGCCAACCCAACTGATGGTACAGTATTATGCATAATATTATTCTCTTTTTAGAATCAAATTGCCACATGTTATTTTTTTACAGATACATTCATGGTGGAAGATGCAGTAGAGGCCATTGGGTTTGGGACATTTCAATGGAAACTTTCTATTTTGACAGGGCTTTCATGGGTAAGACACATTTCTTAGATTATGTACAGGAATGTATTACCATTGTAAATCCATTGAACATGAAGTTTTCTATCAGATGGCTGATGCTATGGAGATGATGATCCTTAGCATCCTGGCCCCACAACTTCACTGTGAGTGGAGGCTTCCTAGCCTTGAAGTGGCATTACTCACATCGGTAATTCCTTATGACACTTGAGGGTTCCTTCTATGGGTTATTCATATTCTTAAAATATTGAAATGTCATTACAATTTTTATTACAACAGGCTGTCTTTATCGGAATGATGACAAGTTCTTCGCTTTGGGGAAACATATCAGACAAATATGGCAGAAAGACAGTAAGTGCCTTTGTTAACTCTATGTTAACATGTTAACTCTAACTGATTTGTGTTTACACAGGGTCTTACAATGAGTGTCCTGTGGACTTTGTTTTATGGTCTGATGAGTGCATTTGCACCCGTTTATTCCTGGATTTTATTCCTTCGGGCCTTGGTGGGCTTTGGAATTGGAGGTGCCCCACAGTCGTAAGTAATTTTCACTGACCTTTTCAAGAGCTCAGTTTGGTTGCATTTAATTTGTGTCCTTTTTCTAACAGAGTGACTCTCTATGCTGAATTTCTGCCCATGAAATCACGGGCAACATGCATTCTATTAATTGAGGTACTTTTTTTATTGGTGTATGACCCATATAACTATGGCTTTTCATTACCTATAGCATATTTTTACAGATATTTTGGGCATTAGGAACTGTATTTGAAGTGCTTTTGGCCATCTTGGTAATGCCTACTCTCGGCTGGCGGTGGCTCCTTGGATTTTCTACCATACCCCTCTTTATTTTTGCTTTTCTTTGTTTTGTGAGTATGGAAAATAGGTGCAGAGTAGTAAATGATTTGTAGATGCGGCATATGGTATAAATTCATGTTTTTTTCTTATCTTGGATTGATAGTGGTTACCCGAGAGTGCTCGATATGATGTCCTAACAGGGAATCAAGAAAAGGCCCTGGCCACACTAAAACGTATTGCCACAGAAAATGGAGTACCAATGCCACTGGGAAAACTAATAGCTGCCAGACAGGTACTGCTAGTAAGCTTTACCTTCAGTCCTAACAGTGGTGATATTCGACATTATTATTATCTAATATAGGAGCATCGAGGGAAGTTTCTTGATCTATTTTCAACACACTTTCGCTGGACCACAGTTCTACTTTGGTTTATTTGGTATGAAAAACCTAAAGTCTGACTTACATACATACCATACTCTTTTTCCTATTTTTGATAATGTGTTTGTTTCAAATCATCAAGGTTTGCCAATGCCTTCTCCTACTATGGACTGGTGCTGCTCACCACAGAGCTGTTTCAGGAGGGCGGTGCATGTGGAAGTAATTTGGCACTTTTTGTTTTTATTGCCAGTACATACAGTGGTTGACTTCCCACTGTGGTTGACTTCCCTTTTGGGGAATGTTAATGTCCTGAAAATTACTTCTAAATTACATTTGGTATGGCAGTGAACTTGTCTTGTTGTTGTATGTCTCCCTCTAGTGTCAAAAAGTAATAAAATTGAGCTAAGGTGTAGTCTGGAGTGTAAATATCTGAATTCAGATGATTATAAAGACCTCTTGTGGACAACACTGTCTGAATTTCCAGGTAAATATTAAACATTGCATTGTGAATTAAAGGTTAACATTTACTTCTTATATGTCATCTTTAAATAGATACTGTATAAATATTTTTTTTCACTATTCGTTGGGCAGGACTGCTGGTCACACTGTGGGCTATTGACCGACTGGGAAGAAGAAAAACTATGGCGCTGTGCTTCTTCATATTCTCTCTTTGTATTGTTCCTCTTTATGGATGTGTGGGGAGGTAAAGACAAACATTATAAATACACAGCTAAAAGTAGAGACTGCTCTGACTGGACATTGCCTTTTCTGTTCCAGGACCTCCATGACTGTGTTGATCTTCATTGCCAGAGCATTTATCTCTGGGGGGTTCCAGGCTGCTTATGTGTATACTCCAGAGGTGGGATATCTATTTAGTTCTATGTGTTATTGATCATACGGTTTATTAGCAAAAATAACAACATTTATTCTGCAGGTGTATCCAACAGCGACCAGGGCCTTGGGACTTGGAACAAGTAGTGGAATGGCCAGAGTTGGAGCTCTCATTACACCCTTTGTTGCTCAGGTAACAGCTACTCCATTTTTTTATTTATTGCCCCATAGGATCATACCTAAAGCAAATCTAATTTTCCAGGTGATGTTAGAGTCTTCTGTGTACCTAGCTCTATCAGTATACTGCTGCTGCTGCCTTTTTGCTGCAATAGCCTCCTGTGCTTTGCCAATTGAGACGACAGGCAGGGGCCTTCAAGAGTCCAGCCAACACGAGTGGGGTCAGGAGATGACAGGTTGCGCTGCCCCCCACAGTCCAGGAGCAGTACCTCAACCCAGTGCAGACTGCCAAGAATAAGCACCATATACCATGTGTTCAGTGGATGGTGACAAGGAGGATACAACAGAACTAGCAGTTGAGGAACTAAACCTTGAAAGGATTGACAGATTTCACTCTTCTTGCTGTCCTGCACTTGTGGCTTTCATATAACATATTTTACTGCACATTGGGTGAGCAGCTGTGTTTGCTTTAACCCCTAGCACTTTCCCATCTCTGAGTACTTGAAGCATCTATGGCTTTTACTGTGAGGTAGAAATATAGGTAAAATAGAGATGGGATATATCTTTCTGGCAAATGATTTGAATGGGCCTTAATACAAACATAGTTTGTCTTTATTCTAAGCCTATGATAAATTGTTGTTGTAAAACATGTATGAAGAGGAAAGATTATCCTTTATCAGATGTTAAAGCACATAAGCACATTCCATTTTTCTGTTTTAGATATTATTTATTTACATAATAATGTTGTAATATTAGACTTTAGTAAAATTATTAACTACATGCACATGTGATTGTAGTTTTAATTTTGAATTTGTTTTTGTTGTATGCCAACATTTTCTTAATGGCTTGTCACGCAGTGAGAAAATATTATAAAACATTGATACAGATACAGAGCAACAATGTTAAGAAAACCAAGCTTTGTCATTTGATTGTAAAATGAACCATGCCAAGTCAATCATTCAGTGTTTAAAAGATGATAGTGTTACCTAAAAGTTTTTTGAAGTGTGGACATTTTTGTCTAGACAATGACACTAAACAATATATTAAAATGGCTACAATTACTCATTCTTCATTCTCTATGATGACTTTAATTTGCTATAGTGATATTTATTTATTTGCTAAGGGTTAATTATTGATTTATTGATTTATTTTTTGTTTATCGTGCATTCTCAGATTTATAGACGAGCTTTCAGAGTTTCTCCTTTTTCTTCAACAATCTGTCCAAATAATCTGGCAGCCTCCTCGGCACAACCCCGGTGAATAGTCAATCCAAATCCTCCATGCCCATAGTTATGTATTACCTACATTATAAATAACATTTAAAGTACTGCTAACAATGTAGCAAAACCAATTATATACAGCATTTGATTACCTCTACTTTAGATGGACCACACTGCACAGACTCTCTCTCCAGCCTTACCTTGCTGCGGGAAGGTCTAAGGCCACACCAATCCTCCACTATTTTTGCATGCTGCAAGAAAGGGAAGCTGTATTCATATATTTCAAATTTTCCTGTAATTAGTCATACTTTAAGACTAGGTTCGAGTAGGCATGCCGCTTCCCAAATGTTCTTGTGATCAATGGAATTATTTGCCTCACTCCAGTTTCCCAATTGAAACACACCACCCACAGTGACAAGTTGACTTCTGCAGGGAAAAAAAAATTAATTGCAGAACAGCAAAACCTCTTGCACCATATTTTGTGTTATGTTTATGTTACAGTTCTTCTCTGCATTGTTGTGTTAACCAGTTCTTACCCTGGAATTATGTAAGGTGAGTTATATAACCCTTTGTTAAAGTTATGGGTGAGAATCCAGTGCTTAAGCCATGGAGCAGCTACCTGTAAGAGGGCACTCATCAATCTACAGCCACATACACTGCTCTCTTTATAGGTCTGTAAACCTCATAATTTCTAGCAGTATTCTGTACTTACCTTTATTATCTGTCCGCGGCCAGGTTTAAGCTCTGGGTCTGGCTGGAGTTCACCAGATCTCACTCCAGTGCAATTGACAATAACATCAGCTCCAGTTTCTGCTAGCTATTGATGAGAGTGTAATACAGTACTTGATTGAATGAAAGATCTTACATCTCAAATTAAAGTGCATTTTATTATAATGTGTAAAGTTCACAGATGTTTAATAAAAGATCATAACTTGAAATAAAAAAAATTAGCAGGCATTTGGTTATACTGGTGTTAACAAATTAAGCATATTTGAGGTTTACAAGTTAACTGATAAAATTAGTAACATGAAATGTATATAAAATAAGTTCCTTTAAAAATGAAGCAGGTACTGTATCAGCAAGTAAGATAACCAGCAAATGATTTACGTCACAAGTAAACAGACTGAGCCGAAATACTTAGAAATACTAAGAAATACTAAGATAATAATATTACAAACATCTCTCAAGGTCATGGCTGTTTTCATACAAACCATTTGAGAAAATATTTCTCTGCAAGAAATCCTAAATTAAAAGTAGGTCTATAGCAGAACTGAATCAGGTATGAGAGTGGGCTAAACCCGGTAGGCACAAAGGCATATTTCATGAGGATTAATAACTTATTATATCACCATGTAAAAATAGAGTCTAAATAATATGAATAATAATACTAACATCTTTAAATGACTCTATTTTCCTGTGATGAAATTTTACACCTCTCTGTTCCAGCCTGAAAAAAACAAGCAACATGTATATTATTGAAATATAATAATATTAATATCAACAATATAATAAAATGCACTCACCAATCCATTAGCCAAGGTAGATAGCTTTTGCCCTCAACCATCAATGCAGTGTTAAACCATCCATGTCTAAAATGTAGTAAAGTGTGTGTGCAATGCTTACTTAAGATACTACCAATGAAGATACTAAAGCACAAGACTAGGGCCTGCAATCCGTCATATACATATATTCTCAGGTTGATTTGTGTACATACTTGTATCCAGGAAACATCTGCATCTCACGCTCGGTGAGCTCTCTAAAACCCAAAACAATATCTTTAAAGGAAGGATCCTGCAATTAAGAACAACATACAAAATATGATTTGTGGAAGGTCTTAGCATTGAGATTAAAATAGTTCAGAAAGGTGGTGCAATACAACTACTTGCTGTTAAATTTTAACTATCAAGCTTAAGTTATCTATTTTTACAGTACTGCACCTTCGTTCATTGTAGTGAAAGACAAGGCTATCTCTTATTAGATTAAAAATAAGACTACTCACAGGTGCTGGCTCAAGACACACATTGTAACCAGATTGAAGGAATATGCCCATTTTTACACTTTCAGGGGACTTGATGAAACTCAGCAAGTAGTCGAATGTCTCTTTATTCCACTTGCTGGAAAATAAAAATAAGAAATGTAATCAAATTGTGCTCCCGGTAAACTGAATCTAACCTACAAAATAACGTTTCAACTATTACACAATGAAACAACAACAAATGCATGTTGTGTAATTCAGGCAAACTCACGTTTCTTCAACTTTTCCATTATCATAAAGGTATGGCTGCCAGAAGCCAGCAGCTCCGTCACTAGTGGTCAGTGGAGTGAAACGGTCAGCAAACACCTCAATGATCAGTGGGTGAATGACAGAATGGTAATGTTCATATATGCTCTGAGCCGTGGACAGCCCGATGACTCCTGCTCCAATTATGGCCACTCGCATGATGGACATAGAACACACACAAAAAAACCGTGGACTTCAAAATTTGTTAGTTCATGAGAAAATGTCTGTCAACTAATAATGCAGCCAGCCACGGCTTCAATATTTCTATTAGGCTATAAGCATATTTAGCATGGAAACATGTAAACAAGCAGCCAAAAAACCAAGTGGGTCTCCTACGACGACATGGCAGATCATCCAACTCAGATTGCATTTACATTTACAAACATTTGAGTTGAGTTAGTTGAATTGACAACTATATTACACTTACCAGATTTTCAGCAGAAGTTATGTCACTGCTAAAACTCTTCGTATGTTTAGTGGGGAAAAGGGCGAATCTACAACCACGTGACCAACATTCTTTGAGCGTGAGTTCAAAGACAACCTATCGATTTATTTATTTACTCCATATTCATTTTAAATATATTTATCACCCACACAGTTATTCCAAATCTGAGCAACAGGTTATAATGTATTTTGTTGTCTCTCGCTGAAAAAATTAGACAGTCTTTATATTTTATTCGTTCATTTTAATACGGATTATATATATATATATATATATATATATATATATATATATATATATATATATATATATATATATATATATATATATATATATATATATATATATATATATATATACACATACACACACTTACACACATACATAGAGGGAGAGAGAGAGAGAGAGAGAGAAAGAAAACAAAACATGGATCTAGATTGCGGTTGCTGACCCTGCATCAGGACCCGTTCGTTGTCTACACTCTCCTTTTGCCATACCCTATGCGGTCCCTGTTCCGCTAGAATGAGCTGCTGGGGTATGAGCTCACCCTAGAGTCGTAGTGGCCGTAGTAGTGGTTCGTTGGTTTAGCCCTCCGCTAGCAGTTTGCTCCTGGGCACCGGTGTTTTGGCGGCTCATCCTCAGCTTCCGCCATGGCACTGGTTACTCTACAGCGGTCGCCGACTCCCAGTGCTGCGTCTTCGGCCAGCACTGCTACTACAGCCGCGGGGGAGGTCAGTCTATCTCCCGGTACACCGAAAATCACCTTGGTTTAGCCGGGGAGGTGGGCGCAGTGGGTGATGCTGCTGTAGAGGGCCCGCTAAATGACTATTAGCACTGTTAATTACCGTATTACGCTAGGTTGATAGCGTACTCTCAACTGTGCGATAAGAATCATAGACTATTATTGCTACCTCATGTCCGATTGTTTACGTTTATTGTCATTATTTTGCCGTTAATACAATTTCAATGCAATGTTCATCATGGAAGGTAACATACAGACAAGCAACAGAAAGCAGGTCATGTGGGCTTTGATTAGATGTCACTTTGTTATAATGCCAAAATAATGTTTACATATTCAAGATTGTTATTTATAACTATATTCGACTATATTATCTTTTAGTTTTGTGATACCGCGTTCTTATTACCAGGTGGGGGCGCTATCTACCAACTCTATACAAAGAGGATGTCCTCATCTTGCTCATAATCCTTCAAATAAATCTCATGGTATTTATAGCAAAAATTAAAACAACCTTAATTATTGATAAGGAAGTGAGCTAACTGACTGTGCCTTTTTTGAGACTGTACTAACAGGCATGTATATGTAAGACAAGTGACAAGCATTAAAATGTAGAGTGGCATGTATTGCACGAGCAAAGGCATAACGCACGTTTTTACAAAAAGTAGGAGTTTAAATTAAGTGCATTTGATTGTGTATTTTCAGATATACACTAACAATCTTCAGATGTGCAGAATTATGCTACATTCTATAATAACCAATTAAAGCAATTATCCTTATTCTTATTTCCAGGACTTTGGCAGTGATGATGAAAGACGAGCCAACCTGAGGTAAGCTTACCGTAGCATGTATTGCTTCTATAAGGGAGAGAAGAGTTTGTTTAACCTGTCCACAAATGCTTTGTAGAATATATGCGGTGGGTTCAAGAATATGGGGTCTGAACCTGAGGCCTTCTGCTAAAGGCTGTCTGTTCTTGTATGACCAGAGCTGTCCTGTGAAAGTTGGGTGCAGGTTGTGATGACCAGAATCAAATCTCTGCTTTTTTACTGATAGTGTTATTGGGCTATGACCTTATGCCCTTATGTTATGTATTTGATTGCTTAGTAGGAGGGCTAAAGTGGTTTTGATGAGGAGCAGCCAAACCTGGGGCCATGGTTCTCCACCAGGATTGAGTGACTTGCACTCTCCTGGTTGAGAGTTAGAAAAGGTCTGAGAGTGTTATTGACAGATTAGTGTAGCATCTGTTTTAGGATTGCTTTATTGATCTGCTGTCTTAAGTGCTGAACCTGAGAGGCAAGTGTTATTATAGGTCAAGGATTGTATAAATAAAAGTAAGAATTTACATTCTCAAATCAATGTAGCAGTATAGCTTATAATTAAAATTTATAGTTGCAAAGTCATATAAAAAAGAGGAATGACAAGAGAGAGTGCCATCTGACAGCTCTGATCCACTGAGCAGTACAAATGAGAAGCAGCTTGTCTGTCTGAAGTCGACACATAGCTTTATCTCCAGTGTCCACTGTTCTTTGTGTGACCTGGTTGATGCAAGAGTGACTGTTTTTGTTGAGGAAGAACATCTTGGTTTAACAGGATGCATTTGGTTATTGAACCCATCCATAATGAAGATGTTACCATATTTTGTAGAAAATGCTGTACTCACCCAGCGTGAGATTCATCGCATGTAAGTCCAGTTCTTAATCCATTATAGAAACACTACATTCAACCAGTGGATTGTAAACTATGTGCCTATGCTTCTTCATGGTGTAAAATGTTATTAGGAACTTGTTACCATGTGGATATGTGTGTTTTTTTTATTTGTAAGTGTATCTTGGAAACAATTTACTGAACTGGAGTAACTAGAGAATTTAGTTAATTCATGTTTGGTAATGTGGGATGGTATTAAATTATGAATATTTTTTCTTTCAGCATTTGAGCTAATAGCATTTCCACTGCAGCCCTTTTACTAATGGTCTGACAGTGGACCCTCCTAATAATCACAAAAGCTCTTAGAGTAGAGTATTTTCAATATCATCCCCCTTCTAAAATTTTAGAATTATTACAATACAGAAATGCCAATGCTGATAAAGTAATCTTGAATATATATAACACATCTACAATTTTGATAGTACTTTATGCATGTTACATTACATCACATTACTTCACCAATCAGATTGTATTTGTATTTATATAATTTTTTTGTTTGCGTTTTTTTGGTGTGGAACAAGCATTTTAGGTTAATTATTGAGGATTGTTTGGGATTCAGGGTGTTTTGCATTACACTAAGTCAGCAAAGGTCAGCCAAGTTGACAGGGACAGATGGGTTATCTGTCTCTCACCCTACATTGTAATTTGGGTATGGCATTTTTGAAAACATATAAAAGAGCATGAGAAGATAATGATGAATCAGATAACTAATCACATGTACATATTTTGTCCCACTTTTTTGTTTGGCAGTTTAAGTGAGAGCTTCTTCATGGTGAAAGGGGCTGCTCTTTTCTTGCAGCAGGGCAGCAGTCATCCAAACCAGAAAACTCATCCTCAGTACAAACATGCAGGTGATTTTGTCTTTACTTAAAATGTTTTATCTTAGAAATAAAAGGGAAGAGTGGAATAATATCAACATCACGGCAGATGTTACTAGGTGAAGCAGATGAAGGCTGTCTCACTGGTAAGCATGTTCCAGACATATACTGTATGTGGATTAGGCAGATTAAGGTCTTGATCCAGTACACAGTAACAACCTTGGTATTGGTAATACTGACATTTATGCCAGATATTACTGTTGATTTTATCCACAGTTAAAGAGTTTATAAAATGATTCAAACCCATGATGATTTTTTTTTTTTTATTGTTGATGACGTTAAATGCTAACAGGTCAGGCTGATTTTTGAAGCTTTTCTTTTGTTACTGTGTTTTTTGTTTCTCAACAGGTGATCTTCCTCAGCACCTGCAAGTGATGATAAATATTCTCCGCTCGGAGGACAGAATCAAACTGGTGAGAAAAACATAAATACAGCACAATGTGAACTAAGGTGGTCAATATCTTTCCTAAAGGCCACAATAGAGTATGGGCATGTTAGGGTTAGACGAACAATATAATATCTCCAATGTCAAAAAACAACTGTTAAAAAAACAAAGGTGTTTTAAAATGATGGGACCTCTATGGGCTGTCTCCCACTCTCCCACATACTGCACCTCTGTAGGTGTTATTTACTGGACTTTATTATGTTTCATAAGTTTTTATAATTAATTATGTAATCTTAAGATTCTAGGCCCAAACACACTATTTGAGAACCACTGTTTCATGCCATGATATGATGTATCCATGTCCCGAGATCCGGGGTCAACATGCTTAAATATAATATTGCTTGTATTGCTGATTTATTCTTAAATCCAAATGAACAAGTTTAAACCTTAATGGTCTCTCTTATCTGAGTACTTGCTACCTAAACATCAGCCTTTGCAGTCAATCATAGAGCTAGTGCACCCTCTGAAGCTGAATTTCAGGTCCTACTTTCAATACAGTGCTTATGATAAAGTATGTGAATATTACTACTGTCATGAACTTAAACAAACAAAGGTTCATAACTGTATGTGTGCAGGCAGTACGGCTGGAGAGTGCATGGTCTGACCGAGTGAGGTATATGGTTGTTGTGTATACCAGTGGCCGACAGGACACGGAAGAAAATATTTTACTGGGAATCGACTTTACCAACAAAGATTGGTATTAAAATTATTTTATTTATGTGAATGTAAAACAGGACAGCATTTGATTATTTTTTTCTTTGTCTGACAGTAAAACCTGTTCAGTAGGCATGGTTCTACCTTTGTGGAGTGATGCAAAGATTCACCTGGATGGAGATGGGTGTGTTTCTCACTGTACATATATTTTTAATACAGATTATGTTTTAAATAAAAATTTCCACTATTTATCATTCTCTACAGGGGCTTCACAGTGAGCACAGCAAATAGGACTCATGTTTTTAAGCCTGTGTCCGTGCAAGCCATGTGGTGAGTAATATTTGTGGACAAATTCAACAATGGGTAATTCTGCCACCTGCTGGTACAATATAGCTTGTGCAAAGTTTGATGTACACCTTTATTAGACAAAAACAAATAACTATTAAACAAATATTTTACATTGTTTGCTTTCCCAAATATCTCCAAATGTAGGTCGGCACTCCAGGTGTTGCACAAAGCCTGCGAGGTGTCACGCCGGTTCAACTACTTCCCAGGAGGAATATCTCTCACCTGGACGGGCTACTATGACAGTTGTATTTCATCGGAACAGAGCTGCATCAATGAGTGGAATGCCATGAAGGACTTGGAAACAACAAGACCTGATTCACCAATAATGTTTGATGACAAGTAAATGTAGCACTATACTTGATATACTGTTACCAAATTTTTACTTTTAACTATTACAGCTGAGATACCAATACAATGTCCTATTTTTGGTAGGCCTACACAGAGGGAAAGAACAGAATGTCTTATTAAATCTACACTCAGAAGCATTATGACATGCCAGGATCTGGAGAACGTGACTTGTAAACAGGTGATGATAAACATCTGGACAATACAAACAACAATTTGCCTAATCTAATAGACTTACGCTTAATGTGTTTTTCCAATAGATCCGCACTGAGTTGGAGCAGCACATGAACTGTAACCTCAAAGAATATAAAGAGTTTATAGACAATGAGATGCTGCTGATCCTGGGTCAGATGGACAAAGCTACTCTCATTTTTGAGCATGTTTACCTGGTAGGAACTTGACTAATGGCTTCAAATAATTAATATTGAAGAAAATGTTATAATCAATTTAATAGATGCATTTGTAATTTTACTCACCTATATCTGCTTGTTTATAGGGATCTGAATGGAATGCATCTAATTTGGAGGAGCTTAAAGAAACAGGGTTGGTGTTTTGAATTCCGATATTTTGAAAGATAACACCATAGGCATGTTTATTTTGTTCAGTGCAATTGTAATCACACATGTATTGTTTTTTTTTAATTCAGGGTGGGCTATATTCTCAATGTTACTAGGGAGATTGACAACTTTTTTCCTGGTACATTTAATTATTATAATGTAAGAGTCTATGATGAAGACTCCACTGACCTCTTGGCCCATTGGAATGACACATACAACTTCATTGTCAAAGCAAAGTGAGTAACCTTTCCCAACTGGGAAAGAATAGATCTCAAATCATATAGAGGTGAAACATGCAAAATTATACATTTTTGTTCACAGAAAGAATCACTCAAAATGTCTTGTCCACTGTAAGATGGGTGTGAGCCGATCAGCGTCCACTGTCATTGCTTATGCGATGAAGGAATATGGTTGGTCATTAGAGAAATCTTACAATTTTGTTAAGCAGAAACGAAGTATTACACGTCCCAATGCTGGTTTCATGAAACAACTAGCAGAATACGAGGGCATTTTGGATGCCAGGTAAAGTCTGTCTTTTTTTATTTTAGTAATATGTTTGAAAATGTCCAACTCACATTGATAACTTTTTTCAGTAAACAACGACACAATAAGTTGTGGCAGCCTGGCTTGGACTGTGAGATGTCTGAAGGGATGCCAGTGACAGGTCAGTGTGGAGCAGACGAGGGGGACCATGTGATGCCAGAGCCATTTATGTCTCCTTGTTGTCAAGAAGCTCTGTCAGATAAAGGCGCTGCTTGTCTGCCACGCCCTACTGTCTCTCTACAGATTGATCCAGCCTATAACAATTATTATTTTCGCCGACTCTCAGACTCGGCACTAGATAGTGAACCCTCAACCCCAGTGCGTGGACCTCCCCTTTTGGGTATGGAAAGGGTGTTCATAGAGATTGAAGATGTGGAGAGGGACGCATTACTGGATGATGAGTCTTTTGTTGGACGAGAAGGCCTGCACCTCTCACACTTTGGGCCCTCAGCTGAGTGCACCTCTGCTCAGATAGGCAGCCACGGAGCTGAGCCTTTGGAGGAGCTGCGCAAGAGGTTGGAGTGTAGTACAGTGGAAGAGGAGGATGAGGAAGAGGCACAAAAAGAAGAAGCAGAAATGGAGGTGCTTATGCAGCCAGACAAAGAAAGTGAAATAACAGAAGGAGACAGTGATGGCAATGGGATGGACCTAGCAGCAATGAATGACAACTCAAATAACAACAACTTTTTGAGCATCACACCCAACCCGATGGTGAGTAAGTAATTTTATCATCAGCTGTTTTTAAATAACACATTTAAGACTTTTTCTGTTGTTTTCATATAGGATTGTATTTCACAAAGACTATTTTCATCTGTTGATTGCTGTGAATCCATAGAATCTCCTTCCCTGACTACACTTTGCCTTAACTGGAGTCCTAGGAGGATCTTAAGTGCTTCAGTCTGTTCTGCCCAGACTACCTCTGAGAGCTTTGCACCCCTAGCCAGTCAGGTTGGTCCCTGGTGTAACTGTGCCAACTGTGTCCTCTCACCTAATGGAACTCATAGTGATAAAAAAGTTAAACCGCAAAAGTCTGAGAGTAAGATGAGGTACACAGCTGATGACCTTTCTGAGAGTCTTCCCAAACTGATGAAGCTGGATTCACAAGAGGAGAAGCCTGCACTGGCCTATCCAGGACAACAACAGGAGACTCTTGTGCAACTTAGAAAGTCTGGTTTAGTTCGTCGCCGTGCTGAAAGACTAGAAAGACTTTCTGGGTTAACCCAAGAACATTTCTCACCCTTGAAGCCTTTGCAGACATGTCAAATGTCCAGAAAGATCTCATTTTATGCTGGTGAAAATGAGTTTTCTTGTGTCACAGGAGATTTTTCCTCAATACCATGCCATCGCCAAGTGCATTTAGAGCCATTAGTGTTGCCTTTGAACAGCGAGGCCTTGATCGGGGTAGTGGACTCTGGTTTGCTCACACCAGCCTCCTCTCCTCGTGGCTCCACAATGACACGCAGCTCCAGCACTGACAGTCTGCGCAGTGTAAAAGGCAGGCCCGGCCTGGTGCGTCAGAGAGCGCAGGAGATAGAGACCCGCATGCGCCTTGCTGGCCTGACTCTGCCCTCAAAGCTCAAACGCTCCAACTCACTGGCTAAGTTAGATAGCCTTAACTTTTCGTCTGAAGACCTATGCTCAGTTTGTTCATCTGAGGCAGGAACTCTCTTGCTACTCTCTCTGTCTCCTGAACAAGACTCTGGACTGCAGTGCCACCCCAACCCTGCCTCTACATTCTCTGAGTTGTGCAAGGAGTATCAAAGTCCAGAGAGAAGACTAACCTTGGAGCCACGTAGTTGACAGGAAAGCCAATGGACACACTCAATCCTAAACATCAAAATAATTCATAAATAAAGCCTTTCAAGGCATACTGTATGCCCTCCTGTGCTTTGATATCAAATGGTGGTCATACTGAGTGCTCAAGTGGTCATATTGCTGTAATCTGACAAATGTGTAATGCCATCAGTACTGATTCATAGACATACAAGTGCCTTATCCCTGATGCCAGAGGCACACACCATAAATGGGAGAATTAAAGGATCTACAGACTTATTACACAGCTGTTATGTCTAATGCTGTATACATTAATTGGAACATCATATTACCTTTTTACTTGGTTGCCTACTCTTACCTAATGAACCATGAACGTTACTGCAAGTCAAGTGAATATATTCAGTTGTTTACAACATTAAAAAAAAACAGATAAAAAGCTATATAGTTAAATGTTACCTCATGCGCTACAGTGCAAACACTTGGACTGTATTCAGATCTAGTAAACTGAAATCAGAGAATTTCACTTTGCCAGAGGTAAACTTGCTGTTTCTTACAAACCTAGTTTATTTATATTTGCACTTTTTTTTGTTTTTGTTTTTTTGATAAATGGTACATGGATATAATTAAAATACGTTTCTATAGTTTTGTAATTAAATCAAAACAAATCTGCATGATTTATTTCCCACATGGAATTCAAATTATAAAACATGAATAAATAATAAAACACTTGTACCTACATTTTTTTTAAAGAACCAAAGTTATTATTCCAGTTCTAAACCAGAAACACAATAGTGAGCTGTAAAAATGGTGATCATGCCACTGTTCTTTGAAATAATTCTGAGGAAAAGACTTGAATTATTATTGTGCTCATTACTGTTGAGCTTGATGCTCTTATATCAATGAATTGTTGACAATGATCACATGAGGTTACATCATTTTTTACATTTCAGTAACTTTTGTACTATATATTGCTGTACTCAATGCATAATGCACTTTTTAAGTTGAGCAAAGGGTACTATATGTATTCATTTTGAGAATAAAAAATCTTTTACCTGAAAACATTTCATCACAATATACCTTGCCATTGTTTTATAACATCACTGAGTTTTTTTATATGTTACACACCCTTTTACCTAGTCAAGATAACTGTGGGTATTGGTAAAGAGACAGCTTGTGTAGCATGCAAGCATAATAAGATATTAAAGCCTGCTGTGTCCAGTGATGTTTGCATTGGTTCTGGTCTGATAGATGTACAGCATATGTCATTTTAGCATGAGACCGGAAAAATCCAGACAGGGCTATATTTTATGTCATTGTCAAATGTATTTATAGCACTTTTATAACAGCATTTGTTGTACAAGCCTATATAGACACAAATGTATTTTTGCTATGTTTGCTATCGCACATACAGATCATAATGCCAGGTTAAATTAACAAAGAACAAACTGCATGAGATAATTTTTTCACTGTGAGATCAATAAAGTTAACTTAAAGGAACTGTATGTAGCCTGCACTCATACAGTTAAAAAAGTATCATATCACATCTGAACCTGGGTTGCCAGTGTTTTAACCTGCATACAGGGGACAACTAAAAAAGTCTATAGTATATACTATGTATATGGACAGGCTATCCTTCATGTAAAGACTCTAGCACTGATTAATGATTGGCTGTAAGTGCTGGAGTTTAGGTAGTGGATTTCAGCATTGAACCCAAATGAGGATCATTCTGCTTTCTGTTTGGATAATTTCCTTGAGAACCAAAACACCAAATAAATAGGACATCATGTCCAATGTTTTTGTAATTAAGAGTAAATAGGGACTCTGATTGTTATCAGTAAAAATTATACTGACATTTGATTTGAACATGCTCACTTCACATCTGGGACACATATGAAGTTTATGAAATTTACTTAAATCTGACAGTTGTTTTATTAAAGCTCCTTATACACAGTTAAGTGCAGATATCAAACGTGTGTTTGCAATTAAAGATAAGAAAGTAATTTAAGTAATAGATAAAACACAGCACAGTTCAAATAGCTCTCTACACTTCTAAACATGGTGTAGCTGTGCACAAAAAGCAGGTGAAATGAATCCAGTTTACCTCATGACAGAAAACAGAGTAAAAGGAGTGTGATTTAGTTGCACACGTGACACACGGGGGCAGACTGTCCCAGAGCCCTGCCACAGAAGGCATGCTTCTCTCTGTTCTTAGGTGTATAGTCTCAGTAGAGACAGATGACCTTGTGATTCAGAACATAATGAGGAAAGACTTCAGATATACGGCACCAGATTTTATATACTTATAAAATGATTATTTATATAATGGGATTCCCATTTTATATTGGATTCTTAATGCCGAGTAAGGACAGAAGGTAGTCAGAAATGCATTTTATTTAGCCTATACCATTTCACACATCCAAGCCAGAAGAAGCACAAGTACAGTTTAATTATGGGCTCTCTATTCTTTCTAGTGCAAGGACTTTACTCTTATTATCAGCTTATGTATCCTGTTTTGAAAGTTGCCACAGAGACCAGGAGAAACAAATGGACAATGTCTGTAGTTTCTGTTGGTTAAATAATGTCCCACATTCCTGGATTTCCTTCTAGTTAGCTTCATTAATGTGCTGAACCTACCCATAGAATTAATTAACCTATACTCATGCCATATAGTTTGCAGCAGTGAAACAGAATTATAAACTGGAAAAACATAAACACATTCACAGATATACAGGCTATAATTCATGAAGACGTGTACTACAGTTCTGCACTTACCACTGAGCACTACATAACCTTAAAATATTTTTTTTCCAAATAGGATAATAAATTGTAAACTTCAGTGTCTGTCTTTAACTAAAATTTTTACAACATTCACATGATAATATAGCCCACAACACAACATGCACTTAAACACAACATTAGTATTGAAGTATGTCTGAGTTTCTAATTGTATTAGTCAAATGTGCTGTGACATCACATGGATGTAATATAAGGCTCCCATTGCTTGTGCATTTGAAGGAGGACTGAACATTACCAAACAACCAACAAAGAGCACTCTGTCAATCCTCCAGAGAGAAGACCAGCAGCTCGGACACTACCTCTGCCCGGTGAGTACATCTGACAAAAATATGCATAACAAAAAATGAAGGAATTTGTTAGGAGATAGAAGCTATCCATCTGTAATTATCAGACATTTGAGTTAAGTTGTTTGGAGATAAATAAGTGATAACTTTTGAGGATTTTGATGAATAGATTTCCTATTAGATCTAAAATATGCTGAGGCTGCCAAACACATGCCGATCAAGTGATCAGCAGTAGGCATTCATGCGTGAGACAGGATAGTAGACTGTATTGTTAACAAGCATTCTTTGCCTTAAGGAAAAGTCTTCTCACATTTATTATCAGGGATAGTATTTAAAGATACAAAGATATTTAAAGATATATAGTGTAGCATGTTTCATCAACTACTTGGTATTTGCGCTATTTTCTAATTGTCACTCACTATCACAGCATGAAACATAGTATTCACACTATAGTGTGTCTAGCAGGGCTGTGTGTCAGATGATATGAAAACAACAGTCATATGTTGTTGCACAGAAGCCAAACACAGACTCACTGTTATTGTGCACTGTGTCTAATTGTTTTTCTGCACATATGCAGTTTAGTGAAAACTTGTTACATAATAGTCAATAACACTAATGGAGTATTCTAGCAACCCTTAACAGAAATGCACATTATTACTTATTGTAACATAACAAGTACAAAGAAAATGAGAGGTTATTTGAGGTTAGTTGAGGTTAGATTTGGTTTGTGGCACTAACATGTTTTACTTCACAGAACAAAATGGGACAAAACCAAGACAAAGTTGAAGATGGAGAGCAGATGCCAGGTGAAGAGCTTGTGGCATCAGGCATAGAATCTTCAGAAGGCCATCACATAGGGGATATAATGGAAGGAAGCTCCACCGATGAGGAGACTGCTTACACGGAGGAAAAGACAGGGGAAACAGATGCTCAGAATTTTGGACAAGACAACCAGAAGCCAACAACATCTATAACTGAGAATTCCTTGCGGGAGAGTCCTTCCACTTTTGAAGAGGTGAGAGTGGGAGGGGCTAGGGCAGAGCGAGGAAGACGCAGGGTACTGCATGTCCATGAGACAAACCAGAACCAAAAAGACCATATGAGGAGCGAGAACATCAGAACTTTGAATCAGATCAATAAGACCAGACAGGGTCATCCATCAGCAAACATGGAGCAGCAGACTCAGGGAAAAGTCCCAAATGAGGCCTGTTTCATTCCTGTGGATGGAGACTCTCAAGATTTAGGTGTGATGAAGATGAAAAGAAAAGGGCCTTCAGCAGCAATGGCTGAACTATCACTCTCCCAATATCCAGATCAGATGGACATCTTGGAGGTTGAGGTCAGAGAGGAGGGCGAAATAACAAATTCTAGAGAAACAGTATGCCACTTCAGAGACAGGAAAGAACTAGCTCAATTTAAACCCAAACATCCTGTGAAAAACATAGCACAGAAAGAGCCCCTATCAGAAATGAGCCGCACCATTCATGCCAACAGCCCAAAGAAGGTCACAGCATCCACTACAAAGGGCAAAATAGTCATACTTGATGAAGCCAGCAATTTAGGTGAGGAAATTAACAGCTCTTTCAAAAGAAGCAATGCAAATGGCCCTCAAACTGGGTCATTGAAATCAAATATTGGCACAGTGCCTACAAAGCAAACAGTGTCCCCATGTCTAGATGAAACACAAGAACCTGGCTCAATTCTGGAGAAACTCCTAAAAAGAAACAAGACAGAGGCAACATCATCTCTTTCCAAAATAAAAGAGACTGCTACAGACAACAGCCATGCATTGGATAATATGGAATATTACAATGCTGCTCCATTGTCCGTAGAAGTAGCTCACCACTCATGTGACAAACACAGCAAAACAAATCCAACAAAGCAACATGTGATCATAAACCCGATGCTTACAGGTGACTACAGTTCTCCAGGTGGGCACTGTGGTCAGCCAGCAGTGAGTCAAAATGCATCTAACAGCTTGAAATCACACCACAATGATTTTATCCCTTCAGATATGCCAAATGCCAAAATAATACCCAATTCACATGGGGAAAAAGGATGCAATATGAATGTTGTTACAGATGACGTGTTTGAAAGTAACTCTCCAACTATTGGTGCAGATATGTTGCCAAAAAAAGAAGCCACAACTGTAAGAAGAGTAAACGTACAATCATGTCAATCCCAAAAGGCGAAAGATGACTCTGTGATAGTCAGGGACAAACCACGAAGTGCCCTTAGACCCCGGCCCGTCTCTGAACTCATAAGAGAGAGCATCCAAATCCATGAAAAACTGGTGCAACAGGAGAGGTCCAGCCCAGCCGAGATCAAAGCCAGTGAGCATGGACAGTCGGTCAGAGTGGCACAAATGAAGGCAGCCTTTGACTCTGCACAGAAATCTTCGGAAAAAAACATTGAGAGGAAGCCATCTATGAGAAAAGGTAGGCCAATAAAACATAGAATTTATCTTTGTCAAATAAATAATAGTTAATTTCCATATATAATATGGCCAAAATGAATTAGAAAAGCCCATGCAATGGCTTAGGCGACACATAAAAACCCTATTAATTAGCCTAGAGACCTAGGTTGTAACTATAGGTCTATTTTAGGCTTAACCCAAAGCACTAATTTATCGGCTCATGTTTAAGTATATGTCATTCATGACTCACATTGTATTGTTCTTTTATGTTGAAATGAAGGAGCGGTGGAGGTGTGACATGAGGTAGGATCATGTATGCAGATTTCTGCTGCAGGTGTGATTTATGAAGTGAGGGAGAGCATACAAAAGTTTTTTTTTAAATCACAATTTATTTACTTTTTTTCCGTAGGTGAATCTTGTATTTTATCTGTGCATAGGCCTACTCTTACAAGTAGATTTTGATGCACTCTTTTATAAATGAGGCCCCTAACCTGTGTTCAGGCACACCTGAGCTCTCAGGTCTTCAGACCACTATCAGACTGCAGCAACATAGATACAGTAGCATCTAGTGGTGTTATGTGAAAAATTTAATGGAAGGAAGCCTTAAAGAATACAGTTTCTATGCCAAATGAGGGCACATACATGTTGGCCAACACTAATAACACAAGTCTATTTGTTATGCTTAATGATTGTGAAGAAAAAATATTAAAGAACAGCTTGGCCCGTGACCACCTTGAAAAAAAGACCAGCTACTGAAAGTGGTCTTTTTTTACTCATAGATGCATTATATCACAGATCACATCATTCTTAATTTCTGCATACTGTGCTGCTGAGCGCACTCACAGCAATCAATGGCAATGGCTCCATACAACCATGCCAGAGCAGGGGCGGAACCCAATGCACATACTTGTGTCAGCACTCCCTCAGCACAGCACCAGGCGGCTTCTCCTGTAGGAATCTATCCGGATACTTTCCAAGCTGTGTCCTAACACTACCGAGGCAATCGATTTGTTTTTCTTTCAGGAGGTAGGTTCAAAAGAAATTCCGACATTCTCTTAAAATTTTAACCTCGGTGCTATAATTGTTTCCAACTGCATTTTTGGAGCGATCAGGAAGGAAAGTGCTTGCGCTAGGTTAGCTAAAAATCAATCGGGACGCACCATACTTGTTTAACTACTTTTCAACAACTCGAACTGACCTACAAGCTTCACTACCCCAGTTTTTATGTTATCCTCGGAGGTTTTGTGAATGAGGAACGATGAGGTGAGATGCCTTGTCAAAGCGGGCCAAAATGTGCTGTAGATCGCACGATGGGGTGGGGGCATAGTACGGCCGTTAGCCTCTAAATATCACCCGGAACAAAAAGTTTAATGTAAGTGAAGTAGCCACAAGCAAGAACACATGTTTAATTTATTGTTACATTGTGTAGTTGCCTACGTGGTGCTCTAAAGCTCCGTCAGCTAACCTAGGGAGTAGTTTCAATTTCCAATCACGCGGTGTGTAACAGGAAGTCGGACAGTGGCGCACCTGAGTTAGTTTTATACCTGTAATCTGCCACATACACAATGGGCAGACACAGCAGCGACATGACACAACAACAGGAGACTTTTATGATGGGATTATGTAGGCTTGGTTCCAGCTCTGACATTTTGCTTATTGTGGGGAAAAATGGGGAAAGGTAAAAGATAATGCCCTCAAGAAATATTTGATATATTAATATGAGAAAAGAATAACGGGGTAAAAAATAGCCTACTCTGCTTACTATTAACGATATACGTAAACTGAAAATATATGATATAACTTTTTCAAAATTATTATTCTAGTCAAACCCAGTTCTTGTGATGTCAAGTATTTTTTGTCTTCTAACTGCATAAAGTCACATTTTATACTTCATATTACAGAAATGAAGTAAAATTGTGTTTAGTTCTTGAAACTTTATAGCCCCAAGAACCAACCAGACATGGTTATTATCTCTTTTACCAGATAATATCAAAATTCTTGTTTTGAATTTACAGAAGTGGAATCTGTATTCTCTCTTTCTTTCTATTGATTCTCAATGATTCTCAACCTGGGTGTGTTCAAAAAGTGAACTTTGAACAAAATCATGTAAGGTTACTATTAAAACACAAATTACAGATCTAATTGCTATTGCTATGCTTATCTAGAAAATCACAAAGATATTTTTTCCAAATTCATTAAGCCCTAATATTGTCACAGAAAGCTGTCAAAAGTTGCACAACTTCCCAACAAGAATAAGGTGATAATCCTGCACATTTTGTGTTCAAATTTATATATTTGAACCTGAACCTAGAATTTACAGGCACATTTAGTACATTTCTAATTTTCTAATGGATTGCAAATATGATCTGATTATTAAAAAGATTATTAATTGTCAATATCGCCTAGGCCTTCACCACTTCTGTAGGTTTCGAACAGTGTTTCTGGGACCTCACATTTTCCTTCTGACAATGGTTAGACACACAACATTCACAACATTTCCAGTTTGCAGGATATTATAACTTACTGCCCTAATAATTAACAAACACATTTTCACTGTACAATATTTTTCATATACCAGGGGTGCCAGTATTTGTGATTATGAGTTGAGAGTGACATAGGATTTAGTATTAAAAGTATGATGTGATGATCAGAAATGTAAAGAGGTTTAATTTAAATAGTATATAGCAAGTTAATGTTGGATTTTCTTCAGCATTCTGGGTTTATTGATAGAACAATAGGTCCTATTGATTAATCAGTAGATTGTTTATTAGTCTACCAATTTTTTATTTTTTATTTTATTTTTTGTAAATAACTGTAACTTGATTGAACACTTATTTTTTATGAAATCCTGTGAGCTTGAGTGTGTTTTGCTTTTTCTCAACTAACTGATACATGCCCTTTTTCAACTACAGCCCTATAGAACAACATCAAACTCACAACATCTAAGCAGGAGTATACCATATGAGGAGGTTTATTCCTCCTGTGGTCTGTTGGGGATACTGCTCAGGCCACAGGAAGAACTTCCTGCTGGTGTGGTCTACTACGTATTCTGATCAACAGACTTGCCATTTGGTTTTTGACACACTTGCCTTGCTGTCAGGGCAGCTGAATGTCATGAATTTTATTTCTGTGTGGAATTAATGGAAAGGTACTTTTATGCTCACCTGCATAAAAAAAGTTGTCATTTCCATGTGACCAACAGGTTTGATTAGGAAGACGGTTTGGGCATCGAGGCATTTAAAGTGATTTGTATGTCAGTTATTATTGTTTCAAACATCATTAAAGGTGCATTGTGTAACTTTTCTGGTGGAAGGTCCATCAAATGTTTTCTCCGTGGAGATGTTATTGCTTCATCTGTATGTCAGCGACCTAATGGTTACTCAGGACTGCAAAGGACCTATCAAAGTTGGACACACTGGCAATCTAGCTTCAAAACACTTTTGGGAGGTGTTGTGTACTTGTTGGTGGAAGGGGACACTTACTATATTAATTGTGTGTTTTGTGTTAATAAATAAAAGTAATAAATAGTTGTATTAAAAAGTCTGTGACTGACATTTGATGTTTTATTAGTAATTTTTTTTTATTTTTGAAAATTCGCCAAATTTTAGACCTAACTGACAATGTTCTTGAAATAGGCCTAAAATAGGCCTATATGAACATTAATCATAAAATATATTATGTATATAAATATATAAATATCATTAATAATAATAATGTTACCAATACTTATCTGTGTACTTTTCTGATTTTGTATCTGTATGCTGTTTTTCAGATATGAGTTTTGTGAGAGTGAGCAAATATCGTCACGTCTTTGGCCAGACGGTGAAGAATGACCAATGCTATGATGATATCCGAGTATCCAGGGTCACATGGGACAGTCATTTCTGTGCTATCAACCCTAAATTTGTTGCTATAATCGTTGAGGCTAGTGGTGGTGGAGCCTTTCTTGTTATTCCTCTGCACAGGGTAAGCACACATATTTACTAGGCCTTCTTATTGTATTTAGACCTGTAATAGAAATTATTTTATAAATGATATTTCCACTGCACTGTCTGAAATCAGTCTGCATGGTAATGGTTTGGGTCTTTTGCTGATGTGTGTATATGCTTATAGTATAATTATATTGGGCGTCAGTTACCAATCCATGTGCTAAACCGTGAGTGCCAACTGAAAAATGGCTTGTGCAATTAGTGGGCATATTGTGTGTGATACCATTGGGAAGTGTGCATATTATTTCTGCTGCAAAACTGATATGTAAATGAGAGCAGTCAGAGAATGCAAGTTTGCGTGCCTCTACTCCTGTGGGATATTGAATTTTTTAAGTGTTGTGCAAATTCACATTTGCCTTACTTCCCAACATTTCTGCATAGCGCTTGGATTACGGAGCATCTGTCGTGAAAACTTTCAACAGTAGGTTAACCAGCGTTATCCTTTCTGCTTTGGACGCGGGATGACTGATCATCCCATTGTAGGATTCATGTACGTGGTGACAGGACCCCATAGTTCCCATTCTAGGGCATGTTTTAAGGATATGGGACAAGTCCAGTTTGATGGACAGCTACTGTGGAACATTCTGGTTCAGTGGAAGAATTGTGGAAGTCAGGGCCAAGGTATCGCAGGTAAAGAGTTTATATTTTATTCCTGCTACTTTGAAAACAAAGTGGTATTATTTTATCTGTCCTTGTAGCCCATTTTTAAAGCCCTTTAAATTAATATCAAATGTCCTATAGTTGCACAAAGTACAGCATCCTGTGCAAAATATTTGCACTTAATTGTCTGTTCTGCGTACTATATTATCATGCAGTTTTACTCATAGTTGTTTGGCAGGTGCTACCAGGCTTATTACAATTTCATTTGCATTTTTTGCTCATATTTTTTGCACATTGGTGAAAATAAGGTACAAGGTCATTCTTTCGGGGCTGTCGCTGGCACCAAGAGTGTTCAGCAAATGCCAGGGGGATCAGAATATTCTATTGCATAGATGTTTATCTGGTGTTCACAGGAACACGCAGCAAGAGACACTTAGACAGTGCTTAATCATCTCACTGCCCTATATGTCAGTTTAAACCATGAAAAGAGCCGGCTAGTACCCAGACAACTCACAGAATATCTGGGGTGGAGCATAAACTCCATCTCCACCCGGTGCCTCACACTATTTCATCAAGGTGCGACTGTCATGTTCAGGACGTGCCTTCACCTTTGGTCTCATGGTGCCAGTAAATTCTGTTGATCATCTGCCTATTAATAATGAGAGATTTCCAGCGCTGGCTCACAGCACTACACTTGTGCCACAGACAACACCTTCATCGCAATGTGAAGGTGGATTCAGATGATAATTATAGAGAGCAACACCAGGCTCTTATCTCTCCAAGCAACGCATGTTCTGCATGTTGTCAACGGAGGGGCCGACCTGTTGTCACAAGGGAATCCTCTGTATGAAGAGTGGGTTCTCCTCCCACAGGTGGTGGAGCAGCTATGCCGGAGATACGGTCAAGATGCTGTTGATCTCTTCACCTCGCAGGAAAACGCAAAGTGTCCGCTGTTCGTCTCCTTGACTGGACCAGGTGGCACTCTGGACCTGGCCCATGAGAGGTAGAATTTTAATGCCACTGGTCTCCGTGCACATGTTATTGAAATTATTCAGTGTGCTACTGTTGAGAGTGCTGTGAGGACCGACAGATTACTTCTTTCCAATGTTCTGTGTCTGATGTTCTGGATGCCCTTTGTCTCCGCCCTTTTGAACCCTTAGTGGCTGTTTCTTTGACACATCCTACTTTAAAGGTGGTTTAGCTTCTTACGTTGACGTGTGCGAAGTGTGTTAGTGAAATGCAAGCCTTGTTGATTAGACCGACATGCTTGCTGTTTGCCCCTGGGTTATTCAAGGTGCCCCTGTGCCTCAACCCAGCCTTTGTGAAGAAGGTGGATACAGCATATAGCTGTTCTGTTTCAGAACTTGCAGCTTTTCATCCTCCACCTTTCTCCTCTTCTGTGGAGCATCGAGTTCACTCCCTGTGCCCCGTCCAGGCGTTGAGGGTGTATGCTATACAGCTATAATAGCTGTATAACAGCTGGTCTTAGAAAGGCAGATTAGTTGTTTGTGTCATGGACTTCTTCTCATTTGGGCAAGCCAGTGTTCAGTCCAAGGCTTTCACACTTGATTGTTTAAGCCATCTCCTTGGCTTACACTTCATGTGTCCTTTTCAGAGGTGTGTCCATCCGGGATATATGCGGTGTATCCAGTTGGCATCGCTGCATACCTTTGTGCAAATCTATAGACTTGGATGTCTCTGGCCCTTCTTTGGCACAGTTGGTCCTAGAACCAAGGGTGTCTGGCTCCATTTAGGGTCACTTGTCAAGCATCCAAGTATCCTACTGCTTCAAGAGCTTTATTTACTATTTGGAAGTGAGCCATATCTCTTATAGTGAAACACAAAACAGCGTTAGAAAAAGAACTCTGAACTCTGAACTTTGATAACAAAGGGAGGTGTTTCACCTTCATTGCCCTCTTTGCAAAGCAGTAAGAAATTTCTTTAAAATGATTACATTAGGAGGAGGCTGACTGTATCAGGAGAGGGGTAGAGCCAGAGATACAGTCATCCTGTCTGTCAGATGGGGTTTATGTTAAGTAATAGGGCTGTGCAAAAATATTGAAATATTGATATGTCGTATTGTTGAATTTGATGATACAGTATCGATATTGTGAGCTGCTGTATCGATATATCGCCAAGAGGATTTTTAGGTGTATTATACTATATTATTTTGTTGCAGCACTATAGTTTTGTTGCTTGTTCAGTGGAAGGAAACTCGTTTATGCGACACATTTGACATTTTCGCTCTTTTGAGGATTAAAATGGGTGTGTTTTATATTCAGTTTGCATAAGAAGTGGTTTAAAAAAGACTTTTGGTATCACAGCCATGATTTAGCCTTTAGTTTTTATTGAACCTTATTGAATCGATTTGAAATATATTGTATTGAATCGTATCGAATCGAAAGCTCACAGTATCGAGATACATATCATATCGTAGCCTATGTATCGAGGTATGTATCGTATCAACACCTTCAGAATGATACCCAGCCCTATTAAGCATATTCATTTACTCATAGGAGGAAAATTGAGCTTCATCTTCTTTAGCATCTCTTTTAGAAATTGCTCCACTTTTAACGTGTTTAGCTGTTTAGCACATGAAACGATAAATGAGGCCCATAGGCACACTTGGTGACTTGAAATACAGTTTTACTGTTGACAACTTGAGTCTGTAATTAGTGTAAACAAGTGCTTGGACGCCTCAATCTGTCAAACCTGTCACACGGCAACTGATTCAGTTTTGGAGAGGGTGATGGCCCCTTTGTGAAAGTTTATTCAAAGAGGCTTGAGTGAAAAAAAATTGAAGGCTTTTTATTCTGACACATAAGCGGTTTACACATCCTCAAAGCTCCTATATTACGCAAAATTGAACTTTAAGCGTGTTGTATCATTGCAGTAAATAATTAAGATGCGTTGTGTTGATGTGTACGCTACGGTAGTTCTGTTCTTCACATTTTTAACACTAAAATGTGCAACATTAATCGTCCTATAATACATAAAACTAACTCTTGTGAGCTTTGAGCCATATTAGAATGTTATTACCTCATCAAAAACACGTGGAGCTGTTTTGTTTCATTCACACATGTAACCCTTTTTTATTAGTCTGTCTACATCTCCAAATCTCAAAATGCTCTATTACACCTTATGATGTCATGAAGCTGTAATTTTCAAGTTATCAGATACCTTTTTATTTTTTGGTTCAGTAGAGATTGGCAATTTCAGGTCTGAAATTATCTAAATTATTCGAGTGAAGATGTGTGGAGTTTAAAAACATAGTGTAGCATATGACATCAAGGTGGAACAGAGCAGAGTGTTTTTTGTTTGAGAGAAGAACCTAAATATACAGGGTTTGTGTGTTAAACATGGGTGAATAAAACCTGGTATGTTTTTGATGAGGAAACAACTTTATAACATAGATCAAAAAGTAGCATAATATAGGCTCTTTAAAACTCACTCCATAGAGCATAATCTGTGACCAGTTTAAAATATAAAATGTAAAATATTTGGTGAAGTTCTAAACTGCTATTCATTCAATTACTCATTTGGATCAGGGCTCTACTGCTGTGGTGATACTCAGAAACTCTAGTATTGCTAGTTTTAAAGGTGTGCAAGATGGACATCTTTCCCAAACTTTGGTTACTTTAGGCTAAGGATCTTTTCTCTGCCTGGTTAACACTGCATTGTCGCTTCTCCCTCTCAGTCCTGCTGACTGCAGATTTTACCTTATATGGTCATGTAGAGCTCCCTGTCTGACAGGCTTCCAAGACCATTTCTTTCCTGCTTTGCCATTGGCTGGTCTATGCCGAGTCAGTACTTGTCTGAATTCTAGGATAGGCCTGGATCCTGAGAGCGGCATAGACAAGAGAATTATGCAACAATAATATTCACCTCTAGAGCTGAAAGATTAACCACAAAACACAACAGAATTACAACCACAAACTTTGCTGTTATTTAATTTACTATTATTCAGGTAAAATGATGTGTTATGCAGAGAACTACAAAGACTAATCTCCCAAATTTACTCTCAGTAGTACTCCCAATATTTGCAATATGTGTCAAATATTGTGCAGTGTGTTTCAGTGTGCTTTAACTGAACCTTTTACACATTTTAGAACTTTCCATTTCTCAGAGTAAAAGGTTTTATCTGCTGTAGGGCATTTCTTGTTTGTTGTTTTGGGTGGTACTCTAGCACAGCATTCTCAGACATTTTGGTGGTGTGTGCATGTGTGGATCACATGTTTAGTGGCAAAGAAAGTGTGTAGCTGAAAAGTATTGCTCATTCAGGGAGCACACAAGTGTTATAGTGTTTGTGATGAGCCTCCAACACTGATTCACTCACTGTATGCATTTTCTTTTGTGTTGTTGCATAGCAGCTGTTGTTTTTTTGACCATCTATATTTTCTTTTATATTTTACTGAAAACAGCCGCTATATAACTTTAAGTTCTGGTTTTGCTCTTTAATAGTTGGAAATATGTGCTGATTATTTGTAGTTTTAACAAAGAACACAGAACATAGAAACATAGCAAATATCATCTGACTACATACCTTACACAATAGACACAAATAGACATAATCCCATCAATTGTGAGATATTTTGTCCAATATCCCTAAAGATAAAAAAAGCTAAACAGCTTTTAGGTTCAGTTTTTTGCATTTTTGCATTTATAGCATAGTTGTCAAAAGTATTGAAAATTAGACGCTAAACAATACTAAAACTGGTATAGAAACTAAATGGTAATTTGAGCAAAGATCAGTACTAGAGGACAAAATTTCACATTTTCTGATCTAGAAGTTTATCAGAATTGATATAAAATCACAAATAAAGCAAGTATTTGCTAATTTTGCTAAAAATATATATATATATATATATATATATATATATATATATATATATATATATATATATATATATAATATGGCACTTCTATTAGTATTGCTATTAGTATTGCACAATTTGTTTACAAAGTAATTCAAAGTGATACCGCTTTACTAACACCCACTGTAATATATAGAGTACTTCATTTTCACAAATTGTGAAGCACAATTTGTTTACAAAGTAATTCAAAGTGCACAATACAAACAAATAAAAACATGCATTCTCTTTATAAAATTACCATTAAATAAATATAGCAATATGGTTCTCTCTATTTAAACTGTTTAATCCCATTGCCATCCATTCCAGTCACTTATTTTCATCATTCTGTTCATTCATTTCTGAAATGCGAATTGAGAAATTCTTTGTCCTGATCTGTTCTTTTTTGCTTTCCAAGGAACACTTGAGGGACAGATAATTCCTATATGATATGTAAATTAGGGGTGGGTGAGATTATTGCAGTATTTTTTGGTTTGTCCAGACAAAGTTCTGACAATATGGCAATCCATCAAAAATGTATTCAATGTGCCTATAAATAGTGAGGTTTAAATATTAATAAAAATGTTGAAGCCAAAGTTGTTAGATCCAATCCCCACAAGCTGGCAAAGGGCCTATTACGCGTAACTGCGCATGAGTCCTTCACTTACCCAAGACACAAATCATGCGCATCCTGTGCACACAAAGAAGTAGTGCACAAACCAGGAACATATAATGGTAAATGGGCAAAGCCTAGCGCACATAAAATGAGTTCTTCATAGAGGAATGAAGTACTCTATATATTACAGTGGGTGTTAGTAAAGCGGTATCACGCGCCTCTCCCCTTGCGATGCGGTGTGATTACCACTTGTGGTTATATATTCTTTTTATTGCTGTGCATGCATAAGGATGGTGTGTGTGTGCGTGCATGTGTACGTGAGTGTGTGAGAGACATGCAACATGTTTAATAGTGTATTTCTGGACGTACGTATATGTTTTTAATTCTATTTTATATTCTGTTAAATTCCAGACAGGAAGAATTGACAGTTCACATCCCACGGTGTGTGGACACAAAGGCCCAGTGTTAGACATTGCTTGGTGTCCCCACAATGATAACATTATTGCAAGTAGCTCTGATGACTGCAGCATCAAGGTATGTTTTCCAGCAATACTAGTATATGAATGTTAAAACTTGCCAAGTGTGCTTATGTAAAACAATGGTGTGCAAGCACTTGGGATAGGATGAGGCATGCATTTTCTGGGCCACTGACCACTGTCACTATCACACTTAACTTGTTAATGACACAAGACACTCTACTGCAGTCCAGACCCTGGCATCATATTTTTTGGCTAATGGTGCCATCTACTGGTTTGATGGCTACATTTACTTTACACTAATGGATAACGTTTACAGATGATTTGTATAGAAAAAAATAATAAAATGAATTTCATAAAGTGTGGCCTTCCATATTATTATTGTTATAATCTGAATCATTTGATCATTAATGGAGTAATATTACAAATAACACTGACCCACATGAAAGTATGAATACAGGCTGTTATATATATAGTCTAGATTAGTCAGTGGTTCTCCAACTGTGACAGCTCCTGGTCGTAGGTGAGGTTCTGTTTGTTGATTTTAGTCCTCTTTCCAACCTACTATAGTCATGTTGAAGCCATACTTAAGCCCTAGTCTTCTTCTAGATCTGTTTTGCTTTCGAAGTACCACTAAAAAAAAAAAAATTGTTGCACAAACATGAATAAAGGTTCTCTTATCTTATTTTCCAACAAATTCAAAATTTATACTCTTTCAATATTGTAGATATGGGAAATTCCAGAAAATGGGTTGCTCTCACCTCTAGAAGAACCTCTTCTGGAACTGGATTACCACTCCAAGAAAGTGGGCATAATCTCATGGCACCCGGTAGCAAGTAACATTCTTCTGAGTGCAGGTAGGAGTCCTTATTGTATAGAATTTATAAAATGACGTGAGCAATTTCAAACAAACCCAGAGTTTTGTTCTTTTTTTCCCCATTCACACATGTTTGAGTAACCCTTTTATTATTAGTCTGTTTACATCTGCAAAGTTCAAAATGCTTTATTTCACCTTATGATGTAATGAACTGGTAGATTTCCTTTTGTTCAGTAGAGATTGGCTGTTTATCATTATGAATTATCCAAATTATTCTAATGAAGGTGTATGGAGTTTAAAAACACAGTGGAGCACTTCCTGTATTACCACATGACATCACAAGGTGATACAGTGTGTGTGAGTCTGAAGTGTTTTCTAGTTGAAAGAACTCAGCCTAAATATGCAGGATTTGTGTGTTAAACATGAATGAGATAAAATATAACTCCCGATAGGTGTTAGATGAGGAAATATAGATCAGAAAATACCATAATATGTTCCCTTTAAGGACACATTCTTACTTACTTACTGGAATTACTATTTCCACAGGTTGCGACAACATCATTGTTATCTGGAACTTGGACACACAGGAGGCGCAGATTGAGTTGGACATGCACCCTGATCTCATTTACAATGTTTGCTGGAACTTCAATGGTAGCCTTATTTGCACTGCCTGCAAAGATAAGACTGTGCGTGTTATTGACCCTCGCGAAAACAAGATTATTGCTGTAAGTATACGGAGTACTGAAAATGTTTATAACATGCTGATAAAAATTAACTGTTAACTGAAGATATGTTCCTATTGACCTATATTTACCCCCCTCAGGAAAAAGAGAAGGCCCATGAAGGCGTTCGGCCGATGCGAGCCATTTTTCTGAAAGATGATAAGGTGCTCACCACTGGCTTCAGTCGCATGAGTGAAAGACATGTGGCTCTATGGGACAAGGTAACTATTTCACTACATTTGTATATTATTATCGATGGTTAATTGAGTTAATTGATACAAAAGACTGCAGTCAGGACTGCCAATTAAACTTGATATTACACCTGTGCTAAGATCTCAAAAATATTGTTCTGACTATCTAATTTACATGAGGCACGTAGACACCTGTTGATTTAGTTTAGTTTATTTATTTAATGAGATGGAGACAGTGCACAATGTTTATTAACCTTCAATAATGTTCCACCCTGAAGGTGGGTTAGCTATACCTTGTCTGGAGAGTTTCTATAAAGCAGCCCAGTTACGAATACTGATAAATTGGTGTGACCCAAGCTGTGAGGCTAAATGGAAAGACATTGACCAGTCATACTTTGATGTTCCATTACAATCTATGCTTGGTGACCAACCTTTACTAAAAATACATTTAGATTCACAACTATTACCACCAATGATAAATGCACCAATTAATGTATGAAGTAAAATACTTAAAAACAAGAATACTGAACAAAGGGCCAAAATTATACGTGGCCAGCATTTGATTCAGAATTTCTTCTAGCAAAAGTATATAATTGATTTCAACAATGTTCTCAAAATGGTATTACTAGCTATTGGACTATCATTGAAAGACATGCTGAAAAGCTTTTTGGAACTTTCAAACAAGTATAATTTGGAAAAGCATGACCTTTTTAGACATTTTCAGTTGAGACACTATTTCAATAGAAAAATTTAATTTACTGCAGAAGAGGGGGCTCTGGTAAATTATTTTCTAGAAGCATATAAAGGTAATGCTCCTAAGAAACAAATAGCCATTGCTTACAAATGTCTACAAGCATCAAAGAACATTTCTAGTAAATATGTTAAAGACTGTGGTAATGTCAAAGCAGGGCATTTTCACATATTTTGGGATTGTGCTAAGATCACACCCTACTGGACAATGGTGATAAAAGCTATTCAGAGTATATTCAGATTAGACCTGTCATTAGGATTTACTGTCTTTTTCTGTAATATTGCATGTGGAACACAGAAATCAGATAACTATTTCCTGATAATGGCTTTCTTTGCTCCATCCAACAGTACTGACAAAAGATATTTGTGTAAAGATGCACCTGTATTTACTGACTGGATCAAAGTAGTTAATGAAATTTATGACATGGAGAGACTGACATTTTCATTGAGACTTTCTACTGTTAAATGTAACAGGTATTGGAGGAAATGGGCCAATTACACCAAAATACTAAGTATTTGACAGTGTATTTGTTTCTTGGTTTTGACATGCTAATACTGTGAAGTTAGATAATTATTATTTTACTCAGGGGTTGCTCACACTAGATGCTCTGAATATTATTCAGTTTTATTGTGGTCTGCATTTTGTGTTTTTTTTGTTCTATAAATGTATCAAATTTTTCAAACACATACAAAAATAAAGTTTAAAAAAATAATAATATGGGCAGGGTGTGGAACATTACATCAAAACTTCAAGTCAAACACATCTGCAATGACTAGACCATTCTAAAAGCTCTCTAACATCATTCACAGCCTCTCCAGAGCATACATACATTACAGGAACAGGTTTGGCTTGAAAGAAGCCATTGTTTGGCCAGGTGTGAAAATGTGCCATAGTTTGAACATGTCATCAGCTCTGTTGGTAACATATTCCACTGACAGGTGGCCAAGAGAGAAAAATTGAGAATTCCAAATATTATGCTTTTTCGTGAAGGAGCAGAAGTATCATGGATCAGCAGACAGACATTTGAATACATCAGGTTTAATCAGGTTTCAAAAGCTTATGTTTTTAAAAAAATTTACGTTTTACAAGAATACGATGAAATGAAGGACTGTTCTTGTGTCACATTTAATCACTGCCGTATTTTCATTTCTGGAGAGAACTTTTATATAATGCTTGGAGAGGCCTCTTGCCTTATTATATTTTCTTTTCTCTACAATAGTAGAAATCGTCACTTAAAAAAGTACAAAGTTTAGTTCAGTAAATTAACTCTACAATCATATTGTCACATCTATTAACCATAAATATTGTTTTTAGGATAACATGGAAGAACCCTTGGCAACACTGGAGTTGGATGTGGCTAGTGGAGTGCTTTTGCCTTATTATGACCCAGACAGTAACATAGTTTACCTTTATGGAAAGGTAAGCTGTAGTGGTGAATCACAGAAATACAATTTTATACACTAAGAGGCATTAAAAAC